ATTAAAAGCTGCACGCTGTCTCCGATATGGATGATTGATTGGTAACCATTTTCTATGCCCAATGTAACAAATTTTGTGGCCATTTTTCAACCTGTGACTAAGTGTATCATCGCCGCATATTGGACAAGCTTTATATTCTTTAACGACACAACCATATAAGTTCCCATAGGTAGGAAAATCATTAACTGTCCACAGTAATACACCTCTTAGTGTAAAGTATTCTCCTATATGTGCATCATACACTCCTCTAATCCCATCCCACAGAGATTTTAAATCATCAATCAAAGGCTCTAAGTAGACGTCTATATCATTTCCATGCTGTTTAGGACTGGAAATTAATAAGGTCAACATCATGAACTTCCGTTTCATGCATAGCCATGGTGGGAGATTATATGTAACTAAGATAACTGGCCAACAACTGTATCTGCTACTTAAAGAACTGTGGGGATTGAATTCATCATATGAGAGAGCCAATCTCAAGTTTCTCGGCTCTTTACCAAACTCAGGCCATTACAAGTTTCCAAGACGGGGAATCCACTAGATGAGACATCTGACCGTCGACTGATTTTCTAGCAGCATGCCAAGTCAAACTCTTAGTTGTCTTATGTGATTGAAACATCCTTTTAAACCTTGGAATTTGAGGAAAATACCACACCACCTTCGTTGGCACACCCTCTTTCAAGATTGAATCTTTGCCTTCCTTCCACCTTGAGACACCACAAGTAGGACAATTAGTTGAATTTTCATAATCCTTCCTATACAAGATGCAGTCATTGGGACATGCGTGAATTTTCTCATAACTCTTCCCTAAAGCAGACAATGTCTTTTTTGCCTCGTACATAGAGGAAGTAGTGTATTTCCTTCTAGAAGCAAATCTCCTTGAAGTATCAACAATTCTGTAAAACAAACATCACTCATCCCATGTTTTGCTTTCAAATTATATAACCTCACCAAAGCCGACAACATCGTGTACTTACTGCTACCAGGGTACAAGGGTTGATCTCCATCTCCAATCACATTGGCAAACTCATAAGGATCAAATCCAATATTGCCTAAATCATTATCATCCATCTCTACTTCTTCAGAAACAAAATTGAACCTACTTTGCTCATCTTCTTCCACATTTCTAGTTGCATTAGTAGTCCATTCCCAAGGTTCTCCGTGCCATGTCCAAATCTTATAGCTTTAGTCAATTCCATTTGACAGGACCCGCCCCGAATTTCCCGGAACCCGAGACGAACCCTGCGGAGACCCTGGCATCACACCCACGCCGGGTTTACTCCTTAAAACTATGTCCTCTTTTACCAGAGAGGATTTAGGGCACGAGACTTTCTGCCAAAATTTCGACAGAGTCTCCCCTGTAAATTGAACATTTCCCAAAATTTCCACCTGCATAAAACACATTTTATAATCCAACCAGCAGCACGCACAATATAATCTCATGCAATTTACATAAATGGCCTCCGGCCTTCAAATGATTCTAACAAACTGCCCACACTGTTTTCAAAATAACTTACTGCATCACACATGCATATAACCAATTCAAAATCCATCCATACACACCTTAACTCCGTGCGACCTCTCGTGCCCTATCCCACGGGTAATTTCTCAATTCCACTTAAATAAATTAAAACATGGGATAATTTGGGGTCGGGGTGTTACATACTACCCCCCTTATAAAAATTTCGTCCCCGAAATTTCATACCTGCCACTCCAAAGGGTGTGGGTACTGGGCCCGCATCTACTACTCGGGTTCCCATGCTTCATCCTCCACAACCAAGTTGGCAGCCAAGCCATTAGCTCTATCCAAACAAGCAGAGGAAGAGGAGTCTCTTTCTTCCACTAGGAATATCCATTAATAGCTGCTGTAATGCTTAATCTCCCTCTGAAAGCTAAATGCTTCCATTTGTGATTTGATTGTCTTCCAGCTCTCCCATGAAGAGAATCCAAACTCTTTGACTTGTTAATATCTTCCTTCTTTCTTTAGAATCGATAAGCAATATTGCCAACACGATTCTTTGAGAGGGATGTCAGAAAGGATCATTTTTACCGAATTGTAATCATCATCTTCCTCTCTCTACCATGACCCATTTCTGATTCAGATGAAAGATTTCTACTCAAACGTGTGCACATGAGATGAGACCCTAAAGCACTCTCTTCATCTCCACGGTAGGTTTACCAATCCATCTAGGTCTCATCCTTGGTTTTGCTCGTGGTATTCCCACCACGCACGAGCCTCCTTAGTCAGACTCACAACTCCTCCATTCCCTTGTAACTTGTCCATCAACTTCCTTTGACAATTTCATCTCATCTCAGCGGATTCAACACTTTCAGCTCTTCCATTTCCTTTCATAGGATATTGAGATACGACAATTTGGATAGACACGTTTCTAGGAACGTGACACCCTTAAGTGCACTCATCAATACCCTAAATTCATCCATGTCAAAGAATCCTCCGCGTCAAAATGATGACGTCCCGTGACGGAACCCATCATGCTCCCACAACTTAAGGATGCACACAAGGTGCGGGGTCCTCAAGAAATTGAACCTAAGCTCTGATACCAAGCTGACAGGACCCGCCCCGAATTTCCCGGAACCCGAGACGAACCCTGCGGAGACCCCGGCATCACACCCACGCCGGGTTTACTCCTTAAAACTATATCCTCTTTTACCAGAGAGGATTTAGGGCACGAGACTTTCTGCCAAAATTTCGGCAGAGTCTCCCCTGTAAATTGAACATTTCCCAAAATTTCCACCTGCATAAAACACATTTTATAATCCAACCAGCAGCACGCACAATATAATCTCATGCAATTTACATAAATGGCCTCCGGCCTTCAAATGATTCTAACAAACTGCCCACACTGTTTTCAAAATAACTTACTGCATCACACATGCATATAACCAATTCAAAATCCATCCATACACACCTTCACTCACTCAGTCCACCGGACAAGCCTCAATTCAACCAAGTTTCGGGACCAACCACGAGGTCCACATCATCCTCGATAAAACCACCTAAGTGGTGTCTAGGTCGTGGCTGCACCTAGGCGCTATCCCAGGCTGCCTACGTACCCTACTAAGGGATCAAGCCACACGTAGCTCTTTCCTATCAATCCTGGCTCCTGATATCAATTAAACCATTACATCCATATCATACATTCTCGGGTTTATCCATCACAACACACCAAACATAATCACATAGCTCCCACTCATACGTCGGGACGCACCCGGCCACGTACGGGGTCTGTCAACACGCCGGCTAATCCAAAGACGCGTGCGACCTCACACTGGGCCTGGCTACATTCTCACCAGCCATCATACCATCATATTTCCCACTCATACGTCGGGACGCACCCGGCCACGTACGGGGTCTGTCAACACGCCGGCTAATCCAAAGACGCGTGCGACCTCACACTGGGCCTGGCTACATTCTCACCAGCCCTCATACCATCATATCTCCCACTCATACGTCGGGACGCACCCGGCCACGTACGGGGTCTGTCAACACGCCGGCTAATCCAAAGACGCGTGCGACCTCACACTGGGCCTGGCTACATTCTCACCAGCCATCTTACCATCATATCTCCCACTCATACGTCGGGACGCACCCGGCCACGTACGGGGTCTGTCAACACGCCGGCTAATCCAAAGACGCGTGCAACCTCACACTGGGCCTGGCTACATTCTCACCAGCCCTCATACCATCATATCTCCCACTCATACGTCGGGACGCACCCGGCCACGTACGGGGTCTGTCAACACGCCGGCTAATCCAAAGACGCGTGCGACCTCACACTGGGCCTGGCTACATTCTCACCAGCCCTCATACCATCATATCTCCCACTCATACGTCGGGACGCACCCGGCCACGTACGGGGTCTGTCAACACGCCGGCTAATCCAAAGACGCGTGCGACCTCACACTGGGCCTGGCTACATTCTCACCAGCCCTCATACCATCATATCTCCCACTCATACGTCGGGACGCACCCGGCCACGTACGGGGTCTGTCAACACGCTGGCTAATCCAAAGACGCGTGCGACCTCACACTGGGCCTGGCTACATTCTCACCAGCCCTCATACCATCATATCTCCCACTCATACGTCGGGACGCACCCGGCCACGTACGGGGTCTGTCAACACGCCGGCTAATCCAAAGACGCGTGCGACCTCACACTGGGCCTGGCTACATTCTCACCAGCCCTCATACCATCATATCTCCCACTCATACGTCGGGACGCACCCGGCCACGTACGGGGTCTGTCAACACGCCGGCTAATCCAAAGACGCGTGCGACCTCACACTGGGCCTGGCTACATTCTCACCAGCCATCACTTGGGCCTGAGCATAATCACAATATGAGGGGTACGTGGGGTAGTGCGTATAGCACTGTAAACTAATATTCAATCTCCTTATATATCATTATACCTCCACACAATTAATTAAATATATCATACAATAACATCAACCAATAAAACATTCCATAAACTCCCACCATTTAAATTCACCAATTTATATCCTAAACCCACAATATCCATTTTACTCAACAACGCTCAAGACCTGTCACTATGGTCATTCTAACCCTCAAATAAAGGTAAGACTATCTCGGAAGTCTCACGGTCAACCTAGGGTCAAACGGGCCTGCGGGGCCCACAACCTCCAAATTCCGATCCGAAAGTTCCTAGAGGTTCTACAGGCTCTAGGACACATGTCCTGCAAGTTTGGTCCAGATCGGACGGTCGGATCGCTCACGATCACACGATCGGACGGTTACTAAAACCCTAACCCCAGGGTTGGCATTTCCGGAGTATCCGGGACTCCGTTTTACGATCCGTCAAATCCTACACGATCCTGGTAATACCTAGATCAACATATTATAATATCAGGACCATCCAACGGTCCAAACCCAGCGAACCCGGAAAACACGCGATATGCGATATCCGTTCGGGACTCTAACAATATCCAAATTGAGATCCGAGCACACCTACGCGCTCATGACAACCTGAGGATCACATTGGGACAAAAATGCCCCTCAGCTACAGTGCCCACGCGCCGCCACACGCGCCGGCAGCGCGTGGGTGTCCAAAGCGATAACCCATCGCCGGAAAAACCACAAATCACGGCTCAAGACTCCTACCCTAGGTAAAACACCTAATTTGGAGTCACTTTTGTTCTTGGACGTACCCCAAAAACTGACCGGAAGTGGCCGGAATCTCCCCTCGAAATCCGGCCGAAATCCAATTCGAAGATCAGACCTCCTACGCTCAAAATCGATGCAATCCTACCCAACCATCAGCTAGATCATGCAGAAGGGATGAATTTCCATACCTTGATCGCCAAAAATGGCGGCCGGACGACGGAGAACGAAGTCGGCGAAGTTTCTGTCAAAACCGGAGCTTTTTCCGGCGAAATCACGGCAGCTGGCGACGGGACCTGGCCGGGGTAGGAAGAGGACGGCGGCCCGGTCATTTTGGTACTGGCCCCGTCGACTTTGGTGGCCGGACGAGAGCACGGCCGGCCAAAACGTGGCCGGCTGTTTCAGCCGTCGCGAAAACCAGAGGAGAGAGGGAGAGACGCGCGGGAGAGAGAGAGTGTGAGAGAGACGGGGGCAATTCCGTCTTTTAACCAAAAATCCCACTTCAAAATATTTACGATTATGCCACTGAGCTTCATTTGATCATATCTCTCTCGTTACAACTCCGATTCGAGCCCACTACATGTCTACGGACTCATCTCACCGTGCTCTACGCAACGGTACAACCGGAATTCCCAAATTCCTTCCGAATAAGAAAATGACTAAAATACCCCTATCCCACGGGTAATTTCTCAATTCCACTTAAATAAATTAAAACATGGGATAATTTGGGGTCGAGGTGTTACACCATTAAAGTATAAGTGGTCCCTTATAATTCCAACTCCAAACAATCGAATATTCCCACATTTAACACATGGACAACGAATATGAGTTGTATTTCCAAGATTTTCTATAGAAAAATTCAAAAATCCTTCCACACCTAACTCATATGCATTCGATCTTCAATCTGCATGCATCCATGACTTATCCATCTCACACACTATAAAATAATACATATAACAAAGGGAAAAGACTAGCAATGAAACACTACTATATTGACAGAGAAGAAAACAAAGTGGAAAAAAGAAAAAAAAAATTCCACAAGAATCAGATGATGGTTTTCACAAAATAATCGTCTCGTAACATTGATTAAGACGACGACATGTCTATTTACCGTCATCTTTAAGCAACCTAACAAGATATTTATATTCTTTTTGAAGAACCAGGTCTGGGTTATGGTCGCCTAACAATGACGGCGGTAGTAAATAAAAAGCCGACGTATAATAAAAATTTAGACGACGGTTGGTTCGACCAACTGTCGTCCTGGTTTGCAAAAAACCAAAGCCTAATTCTTCCATCCCCATTCCTTTTCAAATAACCCTTAACAGAATGCAAACATCAAAACATTAAAAAAAACCCATATATAGCTCCCAATCAAGAACCCATAGCTCCCAAGACATAAAAGAACCCATATTAAGAAACCAAAGTTGAGAGAATATACAAACTAAGAGAATATTGAGAGAGAGTTGAGAGAATATACAAACTAATAAGACAATATTAAGAGAGAGCTGAGAAAAAATATCAAACGCTTGAGAGAGCTCAGAGCATATACCCAATGCTTTGAGAGAGAGCGAAAACTTTAAGACAGAGAAAACTTTAAGACAAATTTACATTGAAGAGAGAGAAGGAAATACTTTAGGGTTAATGGGAAATTCTGAAAATTTTATATCCAGGTCAAAAATTTCAAAAGACCGCGTTTATCAAAGATGACGGTAAATACAACCCAAAAGTCATTTAATTTCAGATTTACAACGACGGTTATGTTACACAGACGCCATTGTAAAGCGTTTTGACGTCGCCCATACAAAAACCGACGTCTAAAGTATTAAATAATTAGATTTGGTGTGCGTTTCCCGGGATTCGAACGTGCGTAATTGACCAAAAAGAGCGAGAGAAAACCGGCGTTGTTTCAATAAAACCTAAACCCTAATCCCTAAATTTTACAGTAATTATAAAAAAATACACGAGTATGAGAAAAAGGAACCGAAAATTGCTACGGACTCCTCACAACAATGCCTTCTATATTAGTAGGCTAAAATCCGTATTAAATAATTTTGAATTTTATGACCACCAATGGATCGCATAAACCTTAGGGTTATGTTATGGAAAGTATAATGACTATTGTGCTTTGTCTCTAAATCTTTTTGACTTTTGTTATCACTTCTAATTTTGAAATCTAAAATTAACATTTTCAGGCATGTATGGGGAGATATTGTCTCAATGAGTGCATAGAATTTGTCGGTATATTTTTTGGATTTTTTAAAATATATTATGAATATTAGTAATTAAATACAAATAAAATATTTTTAAAATTAAATATTTTTAAGATTTAGGGGAGATAAAATCATTCAATGAGTGCATGGTAGTTGTCAGTTTATTTTATGGAATTTGTTTTGAAATTATTATGAATATTAGGAATAAAATATAAAAGTCATACAAAAAGTAAATGAAAACTGTACATAACCAACGTTGCATCCGTTTACAACGACGTTAAAAAACACATGACGTCGTCCTAGATCACATTCGAGGTCGCAATGTTCTCACCGCCGTGGTTAGTAAGTTACAACGTCAACCTTTTCTGAATAACCGACGTGGGTAGAATTTACACCGTCGATTATTATGTTGATGACAACGTTGTTTCGATATACATCACATTTTAACCTGTAATGGACACTGTATGCCTTTAACACGTTCTCTTTGTTGTACTAACGGATGTAGTATATCTATACAAATTTTTCGTAGATTTCAATTTTAAATAATTTAGGGGGGTGTATTCAATTCTAACTTTTAATGACTTTTAATGAGTTTAAAAGTATGAAGGTATTCAATTGTGACTTTTAAATAGTCTTTAAAAGTTTAGTTGTATTCAATTGTGAGTTTTAAAGAGTATTTAAAAGTTTTGAGGTATCCAAAATGTTAATGACTTTTAAAAACTTTGTTAAATAAATGACTTTTCAATACTTTTAAAGGTAATTCTTACTACCAAAAGTCTTGCTAATTTACACAAGACTTTATGAAAATATTGGGAAGCTGAGAAGATAGAACCAAAACTTCTCCAAACGTCTCCAATTCCTTCTTCCTATGTTATATCAAGCATCATGCAGATGGATCTTTTTTCTTCATGGTTAGGGCTCCACTTTGGTATCCCATTGTCATCCACTTCCTTCAGGTTAGTAAAAAAATATTGAATGTTTTTCTTCTCTTCTCATCCACACGTTTCTGTTGATGAATATCTCTTCTCATCCACTTCCTTCAACTATGTTTGCATATAAATATTTTATTATATTGATTGTCTCATATGCTATGTTTGCATACAATATTTTATTATATAATTTTTTGCCCCTAAACCCATTAATTCTTTAGGTGCTGTTTCTTTACCCATAATTCGTTAGGTGGATAATTTTTTCATATAATGTTCTCAATTTGATTACATCCCACATATTAGGTTAGGAGAATTGCTGGAATATAGACTCTTGTAATCTGACCATTTATGTTGATTTGTGAGTGTTTATGAAATATTATTGATGACTGAGTAATATTTATTATTTCTTTTGATAAGAATATGTTACTTGTCTATGTGATTAGATTTGATAAATAAAAATTTAAAAGGTGCATTGGAATTTTCAAAAGGAATGCCATGCAAGATAATAACGGAACTCAACGGTAATGAGCATTGGAATTTTCAAAAGGAATTTGTATTATGGTTTATTCACCGTCATTGAAATGAATCATGGCTAAGCTTTTTTTAAAACTGAATCATGGCTAGTTGAATGCCAATTATTTCCTTATGGTACATTTTCAAATGTACTTTGTCATTTTTATCATTTTCTAATGTTAAGGAGAACTATTCTTTGCTTTTATGTAATTGTATCCAATTGTTTTTTTCCCTAATTTTTTGTTCAATATATGCCGACTAGTTCATTCAACATAAAAGATAAATGCTATTTGTAAAATAAATATAAAAATAAGTATTTAAAAGTCTATAAAACTCTATGACAAAAAGTATATGAAAGTTTGTCACTTAACTTTATAAAGTATGTAAAAGTCATTAAGAATTTGTCTACTTTAGAAAAGTCATTCACTTAAAAAAAGTATTTAAAAGTTAGAATTGGATACACCCTTAATTTGAAAAATATTTTTAATTGTATTTAATTACTAATGAGTGCATGGTAGTTGTCAATTTATTTTATGGAATTTGTTTTGAAATTATTATGAATATTAGGAATAAAATATAAAATCATACAAAAATTAAATGACAAATGTACATAATTGACGTTGCATCAGTTTACAACGATGTTAAATAACACATGACATCGTCCTAGATCACATTCGACGTCGCAATGTTCTTACTGCTATGGTTAGTAAGTTACAACGTCAACCTTTTCTGAATAACCAACAGGGGTAGAATTTACACCATCGATTATTATGTTGATGATGACGTTGTTTATATATACAACGTAACATTTTAACCTATAACGGACGTTGTATGTCTATACAAATTTTTTCGTAGATTTCAGTTTTATATATTAACTGTCGTGTATAACAACCTTGCATGACGTTTTTTAGAAATGCTGTCGATGTTTTCTTTCCTGCTATAATAAGACAGCGGTTTTTTATATAGATATGAGACATGTAAATAAGAATGAGATGTCGGTTTTTGGGAATTAATTTAAATTTTTATGAGTTTTTTTTCATTTTTTTTCATTTAACGACATAAATATCTTATATATATAAAAAAAACTAGAAACAAAAATATATTTCATTTGATTTTTTTATGAATGTTCAATTAATTACCAAAAATATGTTTATATACATTATCAAAAAATTAAAATAAACCTAAACATTTTTAAAATAAATTATATCACTTATTGTTCTGCAATTGCTTGTTCATGAATTATGCCCATTCCAGCCTGACTTCGTCAATATGTTCTTGAGTATACACAACTGGTTCCTTTTTCTTGTCAAACTCCAAATAAAGAACAAAAGCCGACGTGTTATAAATATTAAAACGACGGTTTTAAAAGAAAACGTCGTGGTATTAAAATAAAGAAATTATATCTTAAATTTTACTTTCTTCTCAAATGCTAGGCCTGGATCATGAATTATATCTCTCATGAAACGCATCACGTAATAACCACACTCTACATTTGTTGGTTGTCTAGGAGTGCCTTGTAGATTTTTTACAAATTTATAAATAAACCCAATCCTAGACATGTATTTATAAAAAAACCCAAGCACTATTTAAACATAGAAACACACCCAAAATCAACCCCAAAGTCAACTTTTTGGGTGTGTTTATAAATGGGTTTTGAGTGTGTGTAATGATGGGTTTTGAGTGTGTTTATATGTTTAAATAGTGCTTGGGTTTTTTTATAATTTCAACCTCCATTTTGGGTGTTTTAGTGAAACTCCCTAGATTTTTCCATATGGGTGATTTACGTGATGATTGTTTGCATGTGTGAGAGTTATACATTTTGATTGAACTGTTTCAAGAAAACAAAAAGTGTTAATGACAAAACTAAAAATCAGCATAAAAAAATATTAACCATCGTGGTAAATAAGTGAAGACGACAGTTTTGTAAAACAAATGATGTATTTTATTTCAAACGTCGAAAAATAAGAACCGTCGTTGTGTATCATTCTAACGTCAGTGATGACGTATAACCAAAGTTGTTTTTAAATGAAAGTTGAACAGAAAAAATTAAAACGTTCTAAAATGAAAAACACAAATGACGTGGTATTTCATTTAAGATGACGGTTTCAATAAAATACTGACGTTGTAAATTATTTCAAACGTCAATTATAATATACCGTCGTTGTGTTTTCACTACAACGTCGGTATTCGAAAAAGCCGTCGTATCATTCAAATGCAGAAATATAAAATCTTAGATTTTCATAAATAAACTTACGTATTCACTATATTTCTCATATCCTCGTCAACAAAGCGGTTTGGCAATGAATCCATGTAATAGACAGTCTCCTTAGCTAGTCTCACAATTATTAACACCCAATGACCCCTACACAAAATGATCCATATAGATTAAATATACTACAAAAAAACATATTACAAGGGAATAGGTATAGAACGGGACTAACCCTGGATTATAAGGCACCAAGTAAAATTGATCCCCGTCTGCGTTTTTCAGGCGGTTTGAGAGATGTTTTGAATGGTGAGACAACATTCCAAATTGAGAGCTGACTTGTCCAGGGTCCACGAGGCCAACAAGGTTTACCGTATTTGCCATTTTTAAATTGTCAAATACGTACCTAATTAAATATATGAAATTCAATTAAATGAGATTTTAATTTAGAAGAAAGGAAATGTAAAAAAAACAAAATTGGATTTCTAGAATTACCTCATGTATAGTGCAATCACTGTGGATCCAATCTCAACCACGGAAGCAAACTGTAAAATGTCTGCACTCAAGAGCCAGGTATCATGATCAGTGCCAAACACTTCCTCTGGCATGTGAATTCTAATGGTCTCGTTAGCAGGCTTTAATTTGGTCTCGACATATTGGCATAGGGCTAACAGAGGAGCTGGCATGTCAAGCTTTGAGAGATCCTGTAACAAGAAATAAATAAATAAATAGAAGTTATTTTGTACATGAAGTAAAATAAACAACTCCAACAAATCAACAAAACCGACGTGGTATATAATATCAACGATGGTTTCTAGAACATACTGACGGGGTAAAGGTTATAGACAACAGTAAATACATAATAGTCGTGGTGTAAATATTATAACGTCACTACACAATAGACAAGTTGTCTAGGTTAAAATAGATGACGGGTTGTAAAATAATACCCGACGTCTATTTAAAATAAAAAATAAAAAAAACAAATCAAATGTCAGAGATTTTACCATTTCATCTTGACGGGTTTCAGCAGCATCAGCATCAACATCATTCGTGGGATTGTCTTCCTCCAAAACGAGGGCTCTCACATTGGAGTAGCTTGCTTTGTTAGACATTGTATTTTTTGGGCTCTGCTCTTGAGGAATTGGAGGAATGGGTGTAGTTGGAGTTTTACCAAGCAAGTTGGGATCAAAGTTGGGAATTAGTTGACTGAATTGTTTCAACAAAATTTCCTCTGACTGCCTCCATAACACTTTCCTTCAATTTGTCAGCAAATTTTACTCTCTACTGTCTCAGCAAATTGAAGAATTGAGTTGGGGAAACCCTAGCTCCAACACCTCTGACTCTCCCACCATGCTTAGGGGTTCCCAAAGCCAAGGTCAAAACATTGTTGCTCCCAGAGTCAGTCAGAGTGCCCTCGAAGACTTGTTTTTTCAAATCATCCTAAAAGTCAGAGAGAGAATGTTGAACAGATACTAAAACTGATTAAATAAATAAATTCATAAAAATATTAACCGACGTGGTAAAGAGGTTAAGATGACGGTTTATTTAAAAAACAGACGTAGAAAATCATTTAATACGTCGGCCCAAAACAACCGTCGATTTGTATATATTAAAACGTTGGTCCGTGAAAAAACCGTCGTTTATTTGACATCAGAGATAAAAACACTTAACCAAAATATTCATTGATCCAGAAATAGTGTACAAACCAATTGCAGAGAAATATAGTGGGAGAGAGAGTGTGTGTGCATGTGAATATGAAGAAAGTTAAAAATTTAATTTAAAAAACCTAACACAGAAATGCAAAACCGTCATTGTAATTCAATACAGACATCGGTTTCATAAAAACACTGACATTATATCTTTCTTAAAAGGCGGTAAATAAAAACCGTCGTGGGGTTTCATGTCTAACGACGGTTACTTAAAAGATCGACATCTGAATGAAAAATAAAACCTCTGTTTTACAAGTTTAGAACAGAGTCAGTGAGACTTACGATTAATTTTGCCTTCTCTACAACCTTTGGATCAGGGATGTTTTCCTGTTTATCTTCTTTTGCCTTCTTCCATAGCAGAGATCGATCAATTTCTTCACCGGACATGGTTTCTTCCAATTGATCCTCCAAACCAACGTACCGTTTTCGAGACAACCTATGGTTGTACTCGCATTTCTCCCTTCTCTGTGACTGCTCAGAATGCACAGCCTCAAAATCTGGGGATAACCTTGAAGCTACAAAGGCATCTCATTCCCATTTCTCTATGAAGTTATAAAGCTGAGGGGGCTCTTTTAACTTCTCCTTCTCATTTGCGAATGGAAGGATAAATTGCCTAGTTAAGGTAGACTTCAAATCCTTCCATTTTTTGGCGGCAGACGACAGCACCATCTTCTTGCCCCCTTCCCTAACAACATAAGACATTTGAACAGCTTCCCAAATATGCTCCTTTAGGTCCTTGGGCAATTGACCACAAGAGGGACTCTGGTGCGTGCCAAAACACCAATGTAACTCTGCATCTCAACAGCAGCCTTGCCATGTGGTCTGCCACTTTTATTGTACTCAACCACAGGCTTAATCTTCTGGATTTTCCTCTCCACAACACGACTCATTGTGTTGATACCGCGAGTCGGTTTCGTCACTTCATCAAATGTCGCGGAGCTTGGGTCTTTCTCATAGGATGAAGTAAATCTCTTCTTCTTTGCGGGATTGCTTGGAACAAATTTGGATTCACCCATTTGTGCCTTTGAAACTGCAATGTCCTTGCCTTGACCTTTTGATGCTTGAGCATCCTTACTTTGAGATTTCGAAACCATGTTTAGAGAGAAATACAAATTGCAAGAGAAACAACGACGGTTAGGTAAAATATAGACATAAAATGAAAGTTCAGACAACGACAAAAAAACAAAACCATCATGCTAATCTATAGAAACATGGATGTGCTAATACGATGTGGCCATTAACTTAAAACGACAATAATTAAATAAAACCGTCATCGTATTATAAGTTCATAAATAAATAAAAAAGGCCCAGTTTTCTCTCCCCCAAGTTTCAAATCAGACGACGATTTTTCTCTTTCAAACGTCGTATTTATTAACACACCACGTCGGTTATTATGAACAGCCATGCTATTGAAATAGCACGAATTTAATTACCGTCGTGGTGTGTCAACAAAAACTTCAAATTCGAGAAAAACCCGTCGTCCTCACATGACCTGTGAGTGGGAACAGTGAAAGATTTGGCCTTTTGAAACCTGAGTCTTGTTTCAAACATCAGTGGGAAAAAAAAAAAAAAAAAAAAAAAAAAAAAAAAATAAAACAAACTGAAGAAAACTGAAAAAAAAAAAAGTGACGGAAAATAACTTTGAAAGCTTGCATAGGAAAGTTTTTTCTTTGGAATCAAATTTTGGAAAAATGCATCTTGTCGGAAATGAGAGGGAAACTGAGAGAAAACTGAGAAAATTTTAGGGAGAACGTAAAAGTTCAGGTCAGGTGACCAAAAAGTTTATATAGTGTCCCAAAGATCAATACAATGACGGTAGTGATAAAAACCGCCCTAGTATGTACTTACGACAACAATAAAATCACATCAACCGAGGTGGTTAGTAATAAAGCCATTTGACTTTTTGTATTCCGAAAACAACGTGGTTAGTTGGGCGCAACACATCAAAAGTGTACTTTTGAAGAAGTGATATTACAAGTTACCATGTCGTTTTTTTATTTGGAACTGACGTTGTTTCTCTTAACCTCGTTTGTTTTATATGTCTTCCGTGTTTAAGAACCAACATAGATTTATTTTGTTACACGTTGGTTAGTGTAATATAACCAACGTTGATGTGAATAATATTTTATAAATTGAGTTTTTTTCACGCGTTCTTTCAGTTTCATATTTCAATTAGGGTTCCAACTTCATCTTGCCCTTGGCTCTGTCTCACCTCTTAGGAGGCAATTGTTTGGATGTTGATGTGTGTGTGCATTTGTGTATCTGAAAGACACAAACACACACATATCACCAACTTCCAAAAAATTGTCTCTCTGAATGCAAATCTGTGGTTGCCGTCGTCAAATTTTAGAGGCAATTGTTTGGATGTTGATGTGTGTGTGTGTTTGTGTATCTGAAAGACACAAGCACACACACATCATCAACTTCCAAACTATTGTCTCTCTCACATTGGTGGTCCAACTATGATGGGGAACAGAGTTCCATTTGGTAAGATTTTGTATCTCTTAGGATCTCAGAAAAATTTGATTCTGTCGACGGTTTTCTATATAAATCGTCGTGGTTATTCTCAATTCTTGTCATTAAGTAGATATACCGTCGTAGGATACCAAAATCCTAGAAATAAATAGTAAAAAAAAAAATTAATATTAAGACGACGGTTTAGATATAAGGTTAGATGTATAAAGTGAATAAATACGACGGTAATTTTAACTTCACGACGTGGTAAATTTTATTATACGGCGTTAATTGAACAAACCAACGTGGTTAGAGTTATGAATACCATTGTAGTACGCTACAAAAAATAAGTCGATAAATTTATTATTACAGTTGTTATACATTTATTTAATATGGTGGTATCTTGGTCATGTTTATTACGGAGTAAAAACGGCGGCTGTTGTTGTACAACGTCATCTTTACTTTCTACATCGGTGGATTCATACCTTCTACCGTTGTTTGTCTCAGAGTTTACTTATGAGGAAAACCTTTTCATTAAGACGAAGCTTTTTTAATTTGGTGCGTCGTTTTTTCAAAACACTCATTGGAATCTCCATTTTTTAGGTGTTTAAGTTAATCATACACAGCGGTATTATAACATCGCCGTCTTTTCAAACACTACGTCAGTGGATTCATACCTCTTCCTTTGGCAGCTCAAAAGGGGTGGAAGTTATACCTGTTAGATGTTAAGTATGCATTTCTAAATGGTGTGCTTAAGGAAGAAGTTTATGTAGATTAGCCTGATGGATTTGTGGTTACACACTATGAGGATAAGGTGTACAAATGGAAGAAAGCTCTATATGGTTTAAAACAGGCTCCAAGAGCCTGGTATGAGGAAATCAATGCCTATCTCATTAGCTGTGGATATGTCAGAAGCATAAGTGAGGCCACATTGTACTGCAAGACTAAGGAAGACTCTGGAACTCTAATTGTCTCAATCTATGTTGATGACATTGTACATACAGGAAGCAGTGGAGAATTGATTGTAGAGTTCAAGTCTGGAATGATGAGAAGGTACAAAAGGAATGTTTCTGTTAAAATGAAAAGTGTGTGAGAGTGCGTGGCATTCTAATCATTTGGAGCTGAGTAACAAACTCTCTCTCTCTCTCTCTCACACACAACATCTCTCTCTTTTCTCTGCTGCATTTCTTCATATACTTCCTCTACAAGAAAACTTATACTCTATCAAAACTTCAACAAAAATCACAAAGGCTACCCAAGAATTCCAGAACTTAAGTTCTAAACATATGATCCCAAAGAGATATGATCCCATTTCAACATGTCCTGATCCACTATTCCGTAATAAATGCTACTAAGACGTATATTATGTTCATTGTTATTCTCTATGTTGCATAATTAATTTATAGGTTTCATGACGAGCGTCTTTACTAGCATTTTAAAGTGTATTAATTGTGACAGGACTTGACCCAAATTCCACTTTAAGAGCATCTATACAGATTAATTTACAAACACAAACACACACATCAACTTCATCAACATCCTGTTCGTGATCGACACCTAGCGGGTGCCGAGCACAAATGACCTGGTAGCCCTTCTGGTTACAAACTTAACTTCTTTTTAGCCTTGACTTCTACCGAAAATTCCGCAGAGTCTCCCCTGTAATTTGTTCAATTCCCAAAATTACACCTGTCAAAACAAGCATATATACACATTCCAACTTCCAGCATGCGTATAAATACAATCAACAGTAAAGTTTGAGCCCAAGGGCAGGTCTCGATGACACAAACTCAACTCGAGCCGCAAACTGGCAGGATTCAGGGGACCGTAGTCAGCCTGATCCGCATTCCTGGCTCCCACGGTCCGGGCGTTCCCGAAACTCGTGAGGCAAATGTCAAGCGCACTGACAAAACTGAAGGCAACCTGGATGTCCGTGGACATCGTCATATCCGAAGGCAACATATCTATATCTGGGTACCTGAGGTGGCTTAAGAAAATATAAAATCTCTGAAAGTTCTGCTGAATAATTGAATTTCTGTTAAGTCTAAAACTCTGCTGCCATTTATCTGTTATTTAGCTAAAATTTCCTTTTCCTATATCCATAATGGATATCTCACTCGGTAGCATGTGAATTAAAATATTTAATAGCTTATCAAACACTAATCTTTCAATAAAACTTATTCAAGATCAAATACTATAACTAAATAGCATAAATTCATTTATGAAAACAAAAAGTCCACTCACAGCTGGTCCGAGCTCGCTGGGCCTTTTGAAGGTTCCTGTGGGTCAACTGGTGCCCAGGTGCCTGATACAATTACCATAATAATATATATTAATAAAACTACTCGATATAAATATTTAAATAAAACCCTGACCACCTGGCTCCTAGAAGTGCGTGTATCCAATTAAAGTTACTCCTATGCCCACATTAACGTTCCTTTAAACCTAGGACACATGTCCCGTAAGTCTGGTCTCAATCGAACGGTTGGTTTGGTCACAATCACACGATCAATGGTTCTAAACTATTGAACCCGAAAATCACACAAGATGCGAGATCCGTTCGGGGTTCAAACGTTATCCAAATTAAGATCCGCGAATTCCTACGTGCTCGTGACAACACGAGGATCATTTTAGGACTGTGTGTGGTCCCCACCAAACTGCCCACGCGCCGCCACACGCTCCAGCAGCGCGTGGGTGGCTTGATAAATTCCTGGCGACCGGAAAAACTCCAAACCGCCAGCCCAAACTTCTAACTTAGATAAAACACTCATTTTGGAACCACTTTTGTTCTTGGACCTACCCCAAAAAGTGGCCGGAACTGGCCTGAATCACACTCTCAAAACCGGCTGAAACCTAGATTGAAAAATCAAACGATCTACGCTTGAAATTTCTGGAATCCTACCCAACCAGCAGCTAGGGCATGGAAAATAGCTAGAAAACCATACCTCACTCGTCCGATTTGGTGGCTGGACGATAGAGAACGAAAGCTTGGAAGTTCTGTCAACACCGGCGTGATCTTGAGCGTTTTCTGGCGAAAAACAGGAACTCATAGTGCCCATACCTTGTTCGGAAAGCTGTCTTAGGCACATCCTCTTCTCTAATCTGTAACTGATGATACCCAGATCTCAAATCAATCTTGAAGAATACCTTGGCACCCTTCAGCTGGTCAAATAAATCATCAATGCGGGCAAAGGATACTTATTCTGTACCGTGACCTTGTTCAGCTGCCTGTAGTCAATGCATAACCTCATGGTGCCATCCTTCTTCTTAACAAACAGCACTGGACCACCCCAAGGGGAAAAACTAGGTCAGATGAAGCCCTTATCTACTAGCTCCTGCAACTGAGTCTTTAATTCCTTCAACTCTACTGGTGCCATTCTGGAACGAGCTCAACGGTGAACTCGATCTCCCGGTGAGGAGGTAACCCAGGAAGATCCTCGGGGAATACATCTGGAAATTCCTGTACCACTGGAATATCTTCCAATCTCAGCCCATGATCTCTGGTATCAATCACATGTGCTAAATATCCTGAGCACCCTTTTTTGAGCAACCATTTTTCCGTCATAGCTGAAATGAGGCAAGATGGAAGCACTCTGCGCTCGCCATAAAATGTCACTTCAGGTCATCCGAGACTACGGAATACAACCTCTTTCCTGAAACAATCTACTGAGGCATGATGCTTGGCCAACCAATCCATGCCTAAAATGACATCCAAGTCAACCACTCCCAAAGGAATCAAATCTGCTTCTAGAAATACATCTCCCACTAGCACTGTACTATCTCGATACACCATACCTACTTGAAAAATCTCTCCTGTAGGTACAGAGATCGCCAGTTCGTTCCGTAGGGCTGAAAGTCTTACATTAGCATTGTGGGCAAAACTAGGTATAACAAATGAGTGCGTAGCCCCAGGGTCAATTAAAACTCTAGCAGGGATTCCAAAAACTGGTAAAATACCTGTGATCACGTTAGGTGACACATGTGCTTCCTGCTGGGACATGTTGTACACTCTACCTATGGCTCTGGAACGTCCACCCCGTCCCTTCTGCTGACTACCACCTCGGCTGGCAACGCTGGTCTAGGCCCCACCACTGGACGAGGCCCCTATGAACTGTGATGTCCCCTGTGATCTGCCCTGAGTGCCTATCCCCTGAGGCGATGCAACTGTAGCCTCTCCACCCTGAAGCAATATCGGGCACTCCCTCAGAAAATGTCTAGACTCACCACAATGGAAACATCCAGTAGTGCCCTGTCGGCAAGTCCCAGTATGGTACCTACCACACTCAGCACACTGAGGATTCCTCCTCTTACCAGATGCTGACTGTAGCTGTCTCCTAGAACCTCTAACTGCACTACCCCCGGAGCGGTTCCCAGAATTGCCACTATGGTTGGAACCTCCACTAGAACTGACTCCAGGTCGAAAACCTCCATAACTGCGGCCATTAGATGACCCAGAGTTATAACTGCCTCTCTTGGATGACCCCTGACTGGGACCACGCATATCAAACTGTCTCCTCCGAGGTTCACCCCGCGCTCTGACCATCATCTGGTTGCTCTCTATCAGCGAAGCAGACATCACCAAATCTCCAAAATTAGTCAACCGCTGGCTAATCACAATATCTCGAATGGAGGCCTTCAACCCTCTAGTAAACAACAGACATTTCTTATTCTCATCCTCGACTAGTGGAACACAGTACTTAGACAGCTCATTGAACTTTTTCTCATACTCAAGTACGGTCACTGTCCCCTGTTCCAACTGCAGAAATTCCTCCATTTTCAAATTCTGGTAAGCCTGTGGGTAATACTGACTGTCAAATTCAGCTCGAAATAATTGCCATGTGATGGTTGACGGATCCCGATATCTCCTTTTAATAGACTCCCACCAATGTCTAGCATTCCTGATAAAAAATAAAGTGGCCAGAGTTACCCTACGGTTCTGTGGAACGGCCATCACCTCCATGATCCGCTCTATCCTCTCTATCCACTCTTCAGCCACTGCTGGGTCGCCATCACCATCAAAATCTGTGGCCCCAATCCTCTTAGCTTGGTCAGCATATCCCGGGGAGGGATCTTTGGACTACCCAGTCCTAGATAGAGCTTGAGTCAACAACTCCAAAGTATACTGAAAATTAGGATCTCCTGGCATAGTGGGCATGTCAGGTGCGGCCCCTGATGGGCCTCCAACAAAAGATTGCTCTACTGGTTCCAGTACAGGTGCAGAAATGGGAAATTCCTCTTGCTCGAGAGGGGGATTCTGTCCCCTGACTCGGGACGACTGTCTGGTCCCTCTACGGAAGCCACCACATTTAGCGCGTGGGTGGCTTGATAAATTCCTGGCGGCCGGAAAAACTCCAAACCGCCGGCCCAAACTTCTAACTTAGGTAAAACACACATTTTGGAACCATTTTTTTTCCGGGACCTGCCCCAAAAAGTGGCCGGAAGTGGCCTGAATCACCCTTTCAAAATCGGCTGAAACCTAGATTGAAAAATCGAACGATCTACGCTTGAAATTTCTAGAATCCTACCCAACCAGTAGCTAGGGCATGGAAAATAGCTAGAAAACCATACCTCGCTCATTCGATTTGGTGGCCGGACGACAGAGAACTAAAGCTTGGAAGTTCTGTCAACACCGGCATGATCTCAAGCGTTTTCCGGTGAAAAACAGCGGTTCCAAGGGTAGGGACCGGTCGGGAAAGGAAGAGGAAGCGGCGGTGGTTTGATTGGGTCCGGTCCCGTCGGTTGGAGTGGAGTGTGGCGGTGGTTATGGAGGTTTGAAGGTGACGGGTTAAAATAGGGGGGGCCTGTGGTTGCGAGGAAGAAGAGTGAGGGAAGAGAGAGTCAGTTTTTAAAAAAAATCCTAGTTTTCAAAATTACCATTTTGCCCTCATACGTATTTTGACCGTATTTTCTTCGTTACAACTCTGATTCGAGTCCACTCCGTGTCTACGGACTTCTCCCTTACTAAACATTTTAGGGCCAAAAGTGTCATTTCCTCGTAATAGTTTAATGGTTAAATATTAATTAAGGTTTGGGTTATTACAAATTGGAAGGAAATTTATTGAAGAATTTGAAAGTTAATACTGAAAGAATTTAAGTTCTCATGCTTGTGTGAGAAACATGATTTGATTTTGCGCAAGTCTAGGATCTATAATGCTGAAGACTGAGTGATACCTGAATTTTTCTAATATCTTACTAGGACCGCATCAAACCTGGAGGCTATCATCATCCTCGCAGAAACATTCTACACTAGCATATCTACTGGCCTCAAACATATCTAGTATGTTGCATATCGTTCCATTTTCCCTTATTACTCTCTTTCAAACGAAAGAGATCTTCTCTCCAACCTCTTCTATATTTATTACAGCACTCTATTTCTAGTTACCTTTTCTACTATATATCCCTTCATTTCTAGTTATCAAAATGTCCAATAAGTGGCATTCTTCTTTTCAACCAAACATTTCTTTTTTTCTTTTTTTTCAAATGAAGATGAGAATTTCTATAAAAGGAAAACCATACCTCATCTATGCTCTTTGCAGTTTGAAGACTATTATGCATCACGTGCCAATTAGGCTCAATAACCTGTAAACAAGAAGTTATGTTGTCAATAAACATAAGGCTAGTTATTGTTCCAACATTGCTAGGAAAATATATTTCAGGAATGTAGAACTCGAATTGGATTTCTTAAGGTCGGACAGTATTTTATTATGTATTCCCTATTTGGATGAAAATAAGGAATCTGTTGGTCAGTTGATGAAAGATCTGGACTTCCTGCATAGGGAGAACATGGCTCCCACGCCTATCCTTGAGATTAGCTTGGTTCTGGCAAGAGATGTGCTCAACCTTCACAACCGTTATGAAGATCTCAAACCTTCCTTCCATGCTTCTTAGTTCTGCAGGACTACTCATGAAGCCAATCTGGTAGACTACCAGAAACAAAAAGTAGAACTAGATATGTTGGTTGCCGATTATAAGGAGACCAAGTCTACTGTTGATAAGCTGGAGAAACACATTGAAGAACTCCATAAGCAACTAGCTGGATTAAGGGAAAAGCAGAACAAGCTTGGTGCAGAGTATAGTTTCAGCCTCAAAACCTACTTTAGAGATTGCAGAAGCTTCCATCCACCAGGGAGTACTCCTCCAAAAAGAACTGTCCATCGAGAAGACTGGACTGCAGGAGACTCTTAGAAATTAGGGCTATAGACTTCTACTTTTGTAATAACACTATAGTCATGTAAAGATGACTATATTTAATAAAGGGTCCTATTTATTTTGTGAAACTTTTCTTTTCAATCTGTTTTTAAACAACCAAAAACATGAAAAACACAATCTAAAAACAAAAAATAAATATTCACAAGAACTGACTGCAAACATTTAAGCAATAATTTCATCCATTTCTACTTCGATCCCAGGATCTATTTGTAATGCCTGTGAATCCCACATGACTGGATAGAACTTTTTTAACCATTTGCCATTGATTGGCGCTGCATGGATGTCCCCATATTGGTCTTGTAACCTGTATGCCCCCAATCCAAGGACTTGCTTAACTATGAAAGGTCCATCCCATGTATGTGACCACTTTTCATAACCAGCAACGTGTGTTCCAAGGGGTAGAACTACCTTCCAGACAACTTCTCCTTCTTCAAGACTCTTGTTTCTAACTCTTTTTTTATAGGCTCTTGCCACAGCCTGTTTTCCTGCTAAGAGATTGTTAAGGGTATCGACTCTGCTTGCATCCAATCCCTCCAATTCCAACAGCATTGCCTGTAAATAGTCTTCTCCAACCAAATTATGTTGCTATGCAATTCTGATGGACTGAACTGCGATTTCCATGGGCAGAGGTTAGGGCATATGGAGTCATACTAGTTGCTTCTCTTTTTGAAGTTCTATAGGCCCACAAGGTTTCTGACAGTTTTTCATGTCATTGCCTTGGATTTTCCTCAAGCATTTTCCTGATAATGTTGATAATCACCTAGTTGCTTGATTCTGCCTGTCCATTAGCCTGGGCATAATAAGGAGTGGATTGAAGTAGTTTGAACTTGAATGCTTCTACCATATCTAGCATTTCTCTGGATATGAAGGAAGTTCTCCTGTCAGTGGTAATTGATTTTGGTATGCCAAACCTTTGCACGATATGTTCTTCTATGAAGTTAATGATCTCTTGAGATGTGGTGGATTTGACTGGCTTGGCTTCTACCCATTTGGTGAAATAATCTGTAGCCACTATGATAAAACAATGTTGTTTGCCACTGGCTAGATAGATTTTTCCAATGAGGTCCAACGCCCATCCTCTGAATGGCCATGGCTTGACAAATGGATTCATGGGGACTGAGGGAGTCTGCTGGATTGAACCTTGTCTTTGACAAGCTTCACATCCCTTGGAATATTCTATGCAGTCTTTCATCATGGTAGGCCAGAAGTAACCATACCTCCTAATCAACCAACACATCTTCCTTCCGCCTTGATGTGCTCCACAAATTGCCTCATGGACTTCTCTCATGACTTTCATGTATTCTTTTTTCCCTAAGCATCTTAAGAGCAACTCATCTTTGGTTTTCCAAACCAACTCTTCATTCCACATGACAAAATTTAATGCCATAATTCTTAACCTCTTCTTGGATGGGAGGGCTGGATATTGTACATAATTAATTAGGAGCAATCTCCAGTCTTCCTCACTCACCATGGCAGAATTGACATCTATCTTCATCCCTCTAGTCAGAACCGATGACAGACTTTTCTTTCCTACCTTGATGATTCTCTATACATAATCTTCAACCATCTGTGCTCCTATTCAATGTGGGCCATCTCATTGGCTGCAAGGTTATCTTCCCTTGGAATACGTTCCCAAGTGGCTTCCCTAAATTCTGCCAGGAGATTTCTGGCTGCCACTAAATAGACAGCTAAGGAGGGACTCAAACACTTATATTCTCCAACAATCTATTTTAATACTAGCATGGAATCTCCCAGAATTTCCACAGACTGATCTCCTAGTTCTACTAGCATTTCAAGGCCTATGATCAAAGCCTCGTATTCTGCTCTGTTGTTGATGCAATGGAAGTCTAGTTGGAATGAATAACAATATCTGATTCCTAGTGGATCTTCTAAAACAAGTCATGCCCCAGAGACTAAATCAGTTTTCGATCCGTCAGAGTACAGCTTCCAAGGGGTGAGATGGACTGAATAAATGGGATTATTGAGACAGGTGTGAGCGCTGGTCAGCAGATCTGCATTGGCTATGTCCATGGAATCCATATTCTCAATTTCTTCTCCTGGGTGATCTGCCAAGAAATCTGCAACAGCCTATCCTTTTATGGACTTCTGAGTAACGTATCTGAAGGCAAATTCTGACAGGGCCAGAGTCCATTTACCAATTCTCCCCCTCAAAAGCCTGCTAGTGCTATTCTTCCCATTTAAATGTCTGTTCTTGCTTTAATCTTAACAAGGAGGAGAAAGGTTGGATTTTTCCTACATAATTGGATATGAATCTTCTTAGAAAGATGATCTTTCCTATGAGACTCTATAATTCTTTCTTATTCCGAGGTGGTAAAGCTTCCACGATAGATTTTGCTTTGTTCTTGTTGATTTCTATTCCTCTTTGGTGGACCAAGAAACCTAAGAAATTGTCAACTTGAACCCCAAAATTGCACTTCTTGGGATTCATTTTCAACTTGTGTTGTCTCATTCTTGGGGAAGCCTTTTTTAGATTTGATACATGATCTCCTTTTTCTGGAGATTTAATCACCACATCATCTATGTATACTTCTAGGGAATGACCTGTCATGTCATGGAAAACATAATTCATTGCTCTTTGATAAGTGGCTCCTGCATTTCTCAAGCCAAAAGGCATTACAGTGTATTCAAAAATGCCTATATGCCTTGGACACATGAAGGCTGTCTTGTGGATGTCTTCTTCTGCCACCATTATCTGATTGTATCCTGCATTGCCATCCATGAATGATAGCACTTGGTTATGAGCAACTCCTTCCACCAGCATGTCTGCCATGGCCATAGGATACTTGTCTTTGGGTGATGCTTCATTCAAATTTCTGTAGTCCACACAGATTCTGACCGGCCCTGTTTTTCTCTTAAGAACTGGTACAATATTGGACAACCAATCAGCATAAATGGTTGGCCTGATAAAACTTGCTTTAACCAGTCTTTCTATCTCTTCTTTCACTTTAGTTATGTCTCCATAGACATCCTTCTTCTGGCCTGCTTGACTGGCAGGTATCCTTCTTTTATTGGCAACTTGTGCTCCACCAGTCCAGGCATTTCATGGTAGTGCCATGCGAAACAGTCTTTGAAATCATGCAGAAGTGTAATGATTTCATCCTTCAATGACTCTTCTAGTAATGTGCTGATGAAAGTAGGTCTAGGATCCTCTTTTGTTCCTAGGTTTATTTCTTGCAAAGGATCCTCCACTTCTGGGAAAGAATCATCTAGTGCTGCTGGTGCAAATTCCAATTCTTCCTCTTGCAAATTTCCTTCCTGTTCTTCTATACTCTCATGCATGAATTCTGCCATGTTAATGGCTAGACTATGCATAAAAAACTTCCTCTCTACCCAATATACCAACAATCTATTTGTAATGGATCGGATTGTTGCAGCTCAATCATTTTCTTGCTGGTTTGAGCTAAACATCAGAACTCTGGAGGTTGAGAATGCAGGGTCTATTCTAGTCCTAGAGAACTAGCCAGATCTTCTTCAATGAGTTTCTAGGCCGTGACACCATGGGGACGGCCGTTCTGGTTGACTTTGAAGAAAATAAAAGGACCAAGGTCATTATGATAATACCTAGCCTCAAAACATAATGCAGATGGTAGGAATGGTCGTGGGTCGGCCTCCACTATTTCCATAAAACCCTCTTCATGCTAGAGGGCCAACTGTTGGTGTAGAGTGGGAGGAACACATAGACTCTGGTGAATCCAATCTCTGCCAAGCAGTGCATTGTAAGTGGTAGAAGTGGTGTCTACCACAAAGAAGGCAATCTTCAGCTTCTTGGTCCCTACTATGACATGTACGTCTAGTATTCCATGAGTCTTAGTGATTCCCCCAGCGAAGCTGGTGACCGTTAAGCGTGTTGGAATTAGATCCTTCTCTGTTCTGCCCATTTTGACCAAAAATCTGTAAGGCAGAAGATTAATGGCTGCACCTCCATCTACCATCACTTTAGGGATAGGAACACCCCCAAAGTTTGCAGTGATGAACAAAGGTCTGAGATGGTTAGCCATTTCCTTGGTAGGTTTGGAAAAGCATAGCAGTTCTGCGGCTAATTTCAGGGTAGTTCTGCCTGTTTTGATAGCAGGTATCTGCTGTTTTGGTGCCTCTTCCACTTCTGCCAATCTACACTAGACAGTTTCTTAGGAGAGTACATCTCCTTCCAAAGTGCTCTCTTGTCCTTCTACAGCCCTGAACTTTTCTGGCAGGATAAACATCATATTAATGCCTAGATCACCTTGTAATAGGCTTTCTAATTCTGCACCAAAAGCCTGAGTTTCCTCATCTAATTCTCCATCGTACTCCATCTGTTCTTCTCCATATTCTTCTGTCCAGTCTTCATGCTCACTTGTTTCGAGGAGTCCAGTCTGGTCGTCTGCAGATGGTTCGTAATCCAACTATTCCTCTTTATATTCTTCTATCCAATCTTTTTGACCTTTTGCTAGAATAGGTTTAGATTGATCTTGTGATTGTGAAGGTTCCAACTGATTGATTGAGGGTGAGGCAGGATGGATAGAAAGTTCATTTGGAAATTCTGTCTATGTCAGCTCTTCTAGCTGGTTTTTTGCTTGGGAATCTGTTTCTGGATTTTTCCCTTTCTTGGCAAAACTAACCTCTGGAGGTACCTATGTGTCATCCTTGTTCTTGAGGAAGGTGCAGTATTGCCTCTGGATTCTCTTCTTTTGTGTTCTGGTTAGCTCCAAAGTTGGCCTGCCACTTTTTCCAACAGAAAACCATCTGCCTTCTATGATAGTTGCCAATGGCTTATCATTTTCGGGTATTTTAATTGGTATTTCCTTTTCTGGTTGCTCAGTCACCTTTCTGATGTGCTGGATGAGGCTAGGACTGAGTTCTGGTAGTATAACGTTCCAATTCTGTCAAAAACACTGTTTGTAGGCTGTCTCTGCTCATCCAGAGTTATCTCCAACTCACTTTCGCATTTGCCCCTGCTGCACATAACTACCTCAGCTGAGATAGTTGTCTTTGATTTGTGATTTGCCTCCTTTGTGACTCTTCTGCTTATCTGGGGGCTGACTTCTGCTACCCGCCTGCCTTTCTGTCGTTCTGGCCAATTTAAGTTGGCCATGTTAACTTAAGGTTGGGGAAACGGTATGTGGTTACTATGGGAGGCTTCTCAGTAGTTTTAGCCTTCCTGCCGTTATTCCTTCCTGTATGACGTCTCTGAAAACAACACAACTATTTGGTGGAGTGGTTCCAAGAGTTGTGCCGTTTGCAATACTGTCTGCCTTTGAGTTCCTCTATTTTGGGCAACCTGTGAGGTGTCTGTATTGTCTTTTGGAGAAGCATCTCGTCAAACAAAGTGTCAACCTTGGTTAAATTGAAAGAATAGACCTTGTTCTGTGTTGATTTGTTTGGAACAAATCCTCCTGTAAATGGTGGTGGCTTCTGATCCTTTGGTGGCTTTGTCAAAGCCTTGCGGCCCATAGGATGTTTTAATTTTACCATTACTGCCACTGCAACTTCCCTCTCTTCTGAGCTTTCTGTACCTTCTTATGTCTCAACTTCAATCAAATGTATTGAGGAAGATTGTGTCTTGTAATATGTGCCTTTTGAGGAGTTTCTCTTCTGTTGTTCTTCCCTAAGCAGTTCCTCATATTTAGACACCTTGTCTGCCAGTTCTGCCAAGTCCCCGAATAGCATCCCATCGAATCTCTTCCTCAGAGAAATCTTGAGGGTAGTTTGAGCCATTTGAATGAAGTGTCTTTCTTCCATAGGGATTCGACATTTCATTTTGAGCTTTCTGAGTTTAGCAGAGGATTATTTTCTATGGCTATGCACTAGACAGAGAATCTGCCTATATGCTCAATTGACGAAACATGGGTGTCTTCTCCGTTGAACAAGGTGAAGTTTGGTACCTTAAAGCCTGGGGATAGAGGTATTTGATCAATATATGCTGGATATGGCTTTTTGTAGGTGGGCCTCTCTCCCCTTCTGGCTTCAGGCTCCATCATATCTCTGATCATCCTTTGTAGTGCTCGTATGTCATTCATCCCTCTGTCCTATTCTGTATGGTCTGTGTATGACTTCCTCCCTATGTTCCTCTTCTCCTTCGAAATCTGGATGATTTCCCCAATTTGCCCCCTGCCTGTTCCTATCATTATTGGCAAAAGGGTTGATTCCCCCTCTGCCTCTCCTGCCTCTTGCTAGTGGAGGAAATGGATTGGGGTCCATCCTTCTAGGACTGTAGGACAACACGACTGGTTGCTCAGGCAGAAGTGATACTGGCTGATTGTGTAGGACCAATGGTCATGGAATATGTGGAAGTTCTGGCTAGTTCTAGGGTACCTGAATTGGTGCAGGGCATTCTGGAGGAACTCGGGCTTCGTGTTCTTGGACGGGGAAGGCTCCTTCTCTTTGTCCATCCTGGATTTCTCCTTGTCTTGGCACTCTAGCTATCTGTGCAATGAGACGACATACCAATCTTGGTGGAGGTCCAAAAGGGAGGTCTAGCTGCTGGACCACAACATCTAGGTTTGGAATTTTGGCAATAACAGCCTCACGGTCCTTTCTAAACAGCCTGTTGACTTGCCACTGCATCATGGCTATCATGTTATTTAGAGTATCCTGGCTCCTTTGTGCTTAGGGATGGCAAAAATCCCCGCGGGGACGGGTCCCCGACCCTAACAGGGGGAGATTTCGGGGCCAAACGGGTATCGGGTATGGGGATCCCAGAACTTGAATAATCCCCTACAGGTATGGGGAGGGGATGGTATTGGCGTCCCCATCCCCGAAAATATATATGTTTATACTAATAAATAAATATATAAATATAATATTTATGTTAACCCTAAGTTAAGCTCCATCTCCTAATTCTTCCTAATCTTCTATGGAACTTCGTATTGATATGATTTTGAATAGTTGAGTTGAACTTTATAGTTAATTTGGATGTGTTGAATGATAATTTAATATGAAACTTAATGTTAATGTTAAAATGTATGATAATTTATGCACCAAAAAAATGGGGATTCGGGGCGGGTATGGGGGATTCCTCGAAACCTATTAAACGGGGATTGGTTCGGGGACGGGGGCGGGGATGGACAGTGGGGACGGGGATGGTATTGTCATACCCGGCCCCCACCCGACCCGTTGCCATCCCTATTTGTGCTGCAGCCTTTTGTCGAAGTACAGTATCCTGTATCTGGTTCATCCTTCTAGAACCAGATCTGGAACGTCTACTTCTGGTGCTGCCATGGGCTGAATGCTTAGCGTCACTTTCCTCTTATTCATGTCCTTACTGGAGAGCTGCTTGATTTCTTTCCATGGCAAAGCATGCATTCTAGCTAGTGCTTCCAATATTCATACACCAAGAGATATCTTCTGGCTAGTGCCAAATTGTTCACCCATTTTGCTTTTAATCATGTGATGGTAGGGTAAAGTTCCCCATTGGCTTGACAACCACTGGTGGTCAGCAAGTCAACTTTCTTTTGTGTGTGAGCATGTCACTGCTAGCAGTTCAAAACCCTAGCAAACTTCTAAAAAAATAGATAACTTGCGCCCCAAGTTACTGACTTTTAAACAAGCAATTGTGAAATTGGGTGAGGAATATCTCCCAAGTAAGTTCTTTTCTTGCGTCAAACTGGTGAGGACTTTACAATTTTTCACAGTACAAAATTGGTAGTTCTGGCCATGATAAATGAAAAGAAAGTAAACTATTTTAGGCAGAACTGCCTATTACAGGACTTAAAAATGAAATGACAACTCAAAAACAAGACAACAGAATGTTGGACTTTGATTTCTACCTGGATAACTGCTTCTGAATCGGGCTGGATTGGATAAGTTTATGCTGGATTGAATCGTCAACCCCTTCAACTGATGAGTTTCAACTGGAAATCGATACCAACGTTTGAGTTTAGCAGATCTTCAAATTATTATGAGCCATGGAAGGCTTGCCAAACGGGCAGAATTGAGGCCTCTCAAGTCTGATGAGGACAGAAGTGGCTAGATTGAAGATCACTGAGCTGGAGCTGCGCTATGGTGCCTATTTTGCTTGACCAAGGCTTTCTGTAAATTTAATGAGGTTTTCATATTTGTAAAAACCCAGACTCTGCTTGACTTAGGTTATGCTGAACCAAATTTGTAACGAGAGAAATCTCGCTTTGTAGAACTATTTCTCTGAACTGAACTGAAATCAGAGATTTGAATTATAGCTGGCTTGTTTCTTGTGGCTCAGTGAGCTTTGGTTGCTTTAGTGTTTGAAGGCTTTTGAGATCAAGTGATCATTTTGAGTTTGTCAATTGTGACCTTGAAAGTGTTTGGGCCAAAATCTTGCGCACCTAGCCCAACACGGAAAAACCTAGAATGGGGCCACTAGGCCCAAGCAGTCTGGACTTTGCGAAATAAACAGGGATCAAAAGCCCAAATCAAAGGAAGCCCAGCCCAGGATCTGCCTAAAAACATAAAAGAATAAAACTTGGGCCTCGAAAAAACAGAGAAAAGGAAGAAGTCAGCCCATGAATCAACTCAGGCTTGCCATGATTAAAAAGAAAAAGCCCAAAACAGGAACAAACCCACATGATGCTTCTGACTTAGAAAAGTCAAAATTCTCAACTGGGTTGATGAAAGGTTAACAAAAGCAGGCAACTAGGAAGAGACATCTCTCAATCTCTGACCATCAGAAGATCAAAACCCTTTTTATATATTTAGAGATAATGTTTTTACTCCAAGGAAGGCACCGTCTTTCAAGGGATATGCAGGCTATGTTCTCAAAAAGAGATAAGCAGGAAAACAGGGAGTTGTTCAAAATGGAAAATCAAACTAGCCATCACGTCTTTTAAGCTCTCATAAAGGGCAGTTAGAATTAAAGAGGGGTTAGGTTCTCTTTCAAAAACAGCGAAGTGATTTGTCTTAAAAACTGACTATTGAGAGCTTATCTGCCAGAGCTGATAGAACCCCTTTTTCTTTTACATTTAAAATAAATCTTTGAGAAATTTGCCACCCATTATTAAAAGAAAGAAACCCTACTCCAAAGCATTTTCTATAAATTTAGGAGAGGGTGAACAGAGAACTACACACACTCAATTCATTCATCAATCAAACAATCAAAAACCAACCAAAGGCAAAAACTCAAAATGATCACTTGATCACGAAGAACCTTCAAAACAAATTGGAGCAACCAAAAGCTCATTTGAACCACAAAAGAAGCCAGCTATAGATAAGAAATTCCAAGTTCAGACTTAGAGAAATAAGTCATTCAAAACGAGACTCCTCTCGTTACAAATTTGGTTCAGCAAAAGCCAAGACAAGCAGAGTTTGAATTTTCATAAATATGAAAACCTCAACAAATTCATGGTGAGCCCTAACCAAGCAGAACAGGTACCGTAGCACAGTTCCGCCTCAGTAATCCTCAAGTCTAGCCACTTCTGCCCCGTTCAGACTAAAGAAGTTGCAGTTCTGCCAGTTCGAAAAGCCTTCCAGGGCTTGAAATAGATTAAAGCTCTGATAAAACCAAGCTTTGGTATCGATTTATAGCTGAAGCTTAACAGTTAAGGTTGTTGACAGTTCAATCTAGCACGGATATACTCAATCCAGCCTAGATCAGAAGCTTATATCCAGGCAGAAATGGAGTTCCGGCCCCTTTTTTTTCTTTTCTAGAGTTGATTTTTTCTTCCTAAGTTTTGAAAAAGGCAGTTCTGTCTAAAACAGTCCACTTCATTCATTCTGGCCAAAATTACCAATCTTTTACTGAGATAAATTGTGAAGTCCTCACCGGTCTGAGGCAAGAAAAGAACTTACTTGGGAGATATTCCCCACCCAACTTACTTGGGGCCAAGTTATATATTTTTAAGAAGTCTGCAAGAATTGTTATTGCTAGCAGTGGCACGCTCGCACACTAAAGAAAGTTGATTTGTTGACCAGTCAATGGTTTTCAAGGCAATGGGGAACTTTACCCTTCCATCACAGGAACAAATACTAAACGGGTGAACAAAGAGTTTTTGTTTTGATTGATTTTTTGGCTGTGTTTTGATCTGTTCACCTCCTCTCATATTATAGGAAATGCTGGAGTGGGGATTTTTAATCTTTTAAAAATGGGCGGCAAGTCTTTAAAAGATCTTTCTTTTTAAATGCCATAAAAAGAGGAAGCTATCTATTCTGGCAGAGAAGAACCATCAACGGTCAATTCTCATGGTGGTCTTTTCCTTGCTTTTTTTGAAAGAAAGACCAACTCTCTTTGTTCTTTGTTTGTGCCTTGTAAATAGAAACAACACAATCTGCCATGATGGTGAGTTTGCTTTTTTTTGTTTGAACAACTCCCTTGCTTCCTATTTATCTCTTAAGAATGTAGTCTGCTTATGTCTTGGAAAGGTCACCTACTTTAGCGCAGAGTTTTTCTGTATATAAAAATGGATTTTGATCTTTTTGGCTACAAAAATTTGGAGAAGTCTTCCTTTTATACCTGCCTTCATTAACTCTCTATCAACTCCTCTGTGATAGTTGAAAATTTTGACTTTTCAAAGTCAGGCAGTCACGTGGGGCTCTTCTGGGAAAACATTTTTAGTAAGAAAGATCTGCTGACTTGCTTTGGAGATCAAGTGGCGAGAATTCTTCAGAAGTTGAGCTCAATCCAATTTTCTTAGAGGTTTTCGACCTACTTGGTGATGAATTACCATTTAATTGGCAATTTTATCTATTATTTTTGTGTTTTTAAACCTCTGCCACTTTTGCCAAAAACATGGGCCTCTAATGTTGATTGGGCTGCTTTCTGGAGTTAAGGCCCATTCTTCTATTTTTTTTCTATTTTGTGGGCCTCTTCGTAAAAATGGGCTGGCGTGTGGAATTCTTAGGCCCAAACACATGTCACCTCATCAATATATCGATTAGTGATAGCAAATTTGAAGGTACATTGCTTCGCGATTTGTAAGTCAATGTCCTTCTGAATCCATCCTAGCAGGTACGGCTTAGGATGTGGTGTGGTGTCTAAACCCACTTTTCTTACTAAAGCCTCTGAAATCAGGTTTTTCTGACTTCCAGGTTCAATGATAACTTGTACAACACTTTGCTTCACTTGAAAATTCACATGAAACAACTCTTCATGGTTGTACATGTCTTCAGTATTTGCTGGTTTTGTCATAAGGGTAAGTGTAACATCAGGTTACTTCAACTCTGGAAGCTCTTCTGCCTATTGTGTAGTTAAGGTGGCTTTTCTGTCATTTCTCCCCTGGTTGTTTTTCTGGCGCTTTGGCCGGAACTCATGATGGAGTATCCAGCACTTGTCTTTGGCATGTCTGCTGGTTTGACAGTGATCACAGTAGACCTCTTGTCTCTGACCTTCCTTGCTCTGCTTCCCCTTTTTCTGCTAGTTAGTTTTGTTGACAGGTTTTGATCTGTCATCCTTCTTGTCAATTCTTTTAATTTTCGCCTCAATGGCGATGGCCTTCACAATAGCTTCTTCAATAGTATCTACGGTGAACAATTTTCGCTCTTTCCGTATGTAGTCGGCAAGACCTCCAATATACTACATGAAAACATTGTAGTCCTCGATGTTGATGTATAGAACCATAGCTTGGTTGTGGAACTCTATTGTATACTCTTGTATAGGCTACCCAAATCTTTGTCTGAAGTATTGCCACTTATACCATCTTTCATCTTCATAGCCAACTGGATAAAATTGTTTTCTCAAAAGCGTCTTAAAGTTCTTCCAAGTCAATTATGAGACATCATATTGTCTCTGATAGGACTTCCACCATGTAAGGGCATGGCTTGAAAGTTTCAAACTCACAAATTTTATCTTTTGCACATTAGAATACTTATAAACTGTGAAATAAGTTTCTAATGTGTTTATTCAGTTATCTAGTTTTTCATGATCAACATCTCCTTTATATATAGGGATATCAATCTTAAAATCAAATTTTAAGGTATGAATAGAATTTTTGGTGTCACCTGATTCAGCTTCCTTTTTCATTGGATTAGCTTGTGTGTCATCTTCATCTTCACTATCCCCAACAACCTTTTTCTTGAGCTTTTGATCAGGCTCATAAGAAGTTGATGGACATGAAAGTTTTCTAGTCTTCAAACTCTCCACGAGTTTAAGGATTGATGCAGACAAGTTTTAAACTTGTTGCTCAAGCTTAGTGATGCGATCACCATCACTAGATGTTTCCTGTTTGTTTTCTTCAGTCATAATGTCTCTCTTGGACCTTGGCTTTCGGTGTACGAGCAAAGGAGCTAAAAGTTCTTCTCCAGAAGTTTTGCATTGGTTGCGAGTTGAGACCATAAACCACCATCACCCTCTCAGATATGGTGCTCTGATACCACTTGATCCAAAACTTCTAGTCGATAGAACTATGAATTCCTAGTTTATAGGAAAAAGGGAACGAGAGAAATTTTAAGACAATTAGAGAAATAAAAGGAAGAAGCTAAGGAACTGCTTTGAGTTCTGCTTTCAGGATTGCTTGATTCATTTCAATGAATAATTTATGTATTTAGACAAGGTTTGGTTGCTAAAATTAACTAAACTAAAATAGTAAATTATTTTAAGCCATAAAGAATGAATGACCTAAAATCTCACTCATTTAAAACCATTAACTTTTTATGGTTTATAACAATTCGTTATAAACCATTAGTTTTAATGGTTTTAAATAATTTTATAATATAATATAATATAATATAATTAAAATTATATTATATTATGTTTATTTTTGTTGGTAGATCCTCCTGGATCACTCTTTCCCCTTTGCCAGAGAAAGGAGACCTAGACATCTCTCCCTTTAGACAACACTCACAAGTAGGCATCAATTCTGAACCCAACGGTCCAAGATAACCATCTTTGGCCATCTTGTGAATTTTAGCTTGGTTGATATGGCCAAGTTTTAAATGCCACATTTTAGTAGGATTGATCTCATCCCTTGTCCTTTTAGGCCTTGACGCATCTACAATTGACACTACCATTCAATTGTAAATGAAAGAGGCCATCAATGATATAAGCATAACAAATTGCACATCCATTCAAATATAAAGAACAACTTAGTTTGTCAAACATAACTGAGTACCCATCTCTTAAAAGCATAGAGATGGAGATTAAGTTCTTCATAGAAGCCGGAAAAAAAAGATAATCTTTTAATTCCAAAACCTCCCCTGATGGTAGTTGGAGAAGGTAGGTGCCAATCACTTTAGCTGATATTCTTGTGCCGTTTCCAGCACATAGCACCATCTTTCCCTTCTTCACTCTTCTACTTCCCACTAGCGCTTGAATCAAATATCCAAGTAGAAGAACTAACTGCTAGAACTGATATTTCTTGTTGTTATTCAGGCTTGCGAGATATTTCTTGCAGTTCCGCTTCCAGTGCCGTTGCAATAAAAGCACATTCCTTTGGGCTCCTTTGCCTTCTTTTTGGTGATTTTACCATTGGGCTTGGCTACAGTAGTCTTCTTCTCCTTTCCCTTGCCTTTGCCTTTGGTTTTAGACTTAGGTTTGGTAGAGGAAGAAGGGCCTTTCTCGAAGGCAGCCATAATCCCACTCCCACTTTCCCTTTTGAAATTCTTTTCAGCTGTGACCAACATGTGCAGCAACTCAGCAAGAGTTTTGTCCATTTTCCCATGAGTTCATAACAAACTGGGAGAACTGGTCTAAGAGGGATGCAAGGATAAAGTCTTGTACCAATTCCCCATCTAGTGGAGTTCCTAAGTTCTCCAGCTGCTCGATGAGTCCAATCATCTTCAGCCCATGTTGGTGGACTTGACCATCTTGGTCTTCACAAGCTCACAGACAACACTAAACCGTCTGTTACAAGTACCCTCACCATACAGCTCTTGCAGATGAACTATGATATCAATTGCAACATCCATGTGCTCATGTTGCTTCTGAAGCTCAGAGTTCATGGAAGTAAGGATGTAGCATTTAGCTTGTGTGTCGTCTTGTATGTGCTTAACATATTGAGCACATTCCTCCTCAGTGACATTATTACCAAGAGGTTGATGAGGGAACAGCTTATCAAGCACATATGCAATTTTCTCATTGATCAAAACGATCTCGAGATTTCGAAACCATTCCGGGAAATTGTGCCGCTCAAGGCAATGTTTGTCAAGAATTTTGGCGAGTTCATTTTCAGACATATCTACATAACATACAAAAATTTAAATTAGATTGCTTTTAGACAGCCAATGATTCGGGTCTTTTAAATCAAATGACACCTCCCACTATTTTTGGCAAATTCCATCTCCCTCAAATGGAATCCGAGAATTTTAGTTTCAACTCTTAGTGAGGATGGAAGGCTCACCACCATCAATCTTTCCAAATCATAATAGAATATTGGTTTGCTTGAATGGTGAAGAGAGAGTATTCTTACCCATTCACATCATGATATGATTACCCATCACTTTGGCCTCTAGGTAGAACACACAAAAAACCAGAGGATATTGGCGCGCACAGGAGAAAAGGCAGCCTTCAGACTAGCCAAAGTTATCTATCTCCTTCCTTTGCCAGACCTTGCCCTGAAATAGGGGAGGAAAGAAGGGGAGGTGATAACCATATATAGGAAATCACCACTGGAGCAGCTGCAGGAAGGCTTTAGAGCTCCCAAAAACCTTGTCTTGGTGTGTTTGGACAGAGGAAAATTGCATAAAAGATGATGAATCGAAAGGATAGAAGAAAAAGGGAAGTGGAGATTTGGAAAAATTGGAGAGAAACCATTAGGGTTTCTTGGAATGGAGGAGCTTCCAGCGGCTATAAAAAGGGTCACCTCCTACCCAACACACAACACACAACTAGAGAGCAAGCTTCATCTCTCATCCCAGAAACCTCTGCAATTTCGATCCCCAATTCCTCCATCTCTTCCATTTTCTTTTCTGGTAAACCATTCCAGAGCTTGACAGAGCCACTGTCAAGCTACAGGAAACTACTCAACACACCCATTATTCCCCCATCTCTCTCTCTCTTCAACAAACTCTCTTAGAATCCCTTCCCCCTTTCCTTAGAACCCCTGTTTCTCATAGGAATTCACAGCTCTCTCTCTCTCTTTAATGCTAAACTCATGACTGTTTTGCTTCCATGCCACAAGCATCTCATGCCAAGCTAAGTATTTATCTGTAAGCAGCCATTGTTTTTGTTGGTGAAGGTAACCAGGGTGTTTCCTAAGGCTTCACTATCCTTTTGAAGCATTCTTGGGGTCTAATCTTTGAACTCAGACACAGGGGGTAATTTCATCCATTTTGCTCTTTATGGTAGCTCAGCCCATTTGTAGCTGCCGAAACCAAAAAGCCCCTACACACATATATATCACATAATTTTGAAAACAAGCCCATATTAAAACCAATAACCAAAATAAAAGGCTCAAAGAGACTATACCTTGGCTTTTCATACCACTTGAAGGAAGCATGCATCTAATGCTTAGGAAATGAACTTTATCCACACCCTGTACAACAAAAACATTCTAAATGGCGGGTTCATTTTGTTTATACTAGTTGGGCTGAACCTTTTTCATTTTAAACCAAGTATATTAGCCTAATCTCTTTGAACACAAATAGAAAAGGGAAGAGGGAATAGATCTTTACCCTTGATGACCTTTCTTGATTTCTCAAGAATGAACACTTTTGTTGGAAATGCCTTTTCTCTTTCTTGATTTTGACTCCTTCACCTTAAGGCTCCAAGATTGGAGTCCTCTACCTCACCACACCAAATGCTCCTAGTTTGTTCAACTAATTGTAACAATTCTTCTACATTCTTTGGTCTATCTATTTGCATAATCTCTAACGGCTCTACATTTCCTACAATTGGATACTCATGATCAAATATTATATCATCATATTCTGGATTATCTTGTTCATTTACCTTTTCTTCATTTATTTCTTCTAATTCTTCCATATTATATTTAAAATTTTGTTCTTCTATGTTAATACTATTATAAGATTCTAATATATTACTTTGATCAGTTGTGGTTATACCTTTCTTAAAAAATGTAATATCTGGAGGTGTATATAAAAATCATCCTTGTAAACTTTTTAAGAAATTTAGTCCTAAGATAAAAGGATATGATTGTACTAGGGATATAAAGGTTAAGGGTAAATTAAACTGTTGTCTTTCTATCCTAATTGGTGTATTATTAATTTATGATCAATGTGTTTTTACACAAATGATCTTACCTGCAACTTTAATACAAGCTTAAAAAATTGAACTGTAAAACTGTAATCATATTGCAAAACCAATGAAATCAAACCAACATTCATTCACGAATCAATACTATCTAGAATATCTTAACTAGATAACCAAAAAAAAAACATTAGCTCAAACAGTAAATAAAGTTGAGCAAACTATTTAAGATAGAACATAACTCATAAGCTTCCACTAAATCAAAGCCAAGTCTGGTCGTGTACACACTTGTGCATATATGATACTGTCTACAACTGAAGCATATGGTTTGTCCTTCATCTCTACTCTCTCTACATCATTCCTTGGACAGTCTTCCTTGCTCAATTTGTCTTGTTTTGAAATTGGGACCTCAACTCCATTACTTTGAAGCATGTTAAATTTCTTCAACACCTTAACCATATAGGCTTTCTGTGACAAACCTAGCCACCCTTTCGCTCTTTTTCTGTGAATCTCAACTCCCAACACATATGATGCTTCTCCAAGGACCTTCATCTCAAAACTCGTGGAAATAAAACTCTTAGTCTCATGTAAAAAACTCTCATCACTACTAGCAAGCAAGATGTCATCTACATAAAGAACTAGAAAAATGAATTTATTCCCACTAAATTTTCACTATATGCACTCATCCAATATGTTTTCAACAAAGCCATTTGAAGTGATGTTCTTGTCAAACTTTAGGTACCATTGGCTAGAGGATTGCTTCAAATAATATATTGATTTCTTTGATTTGCACACCAAATGCTCACTCCCTTCTTCTGTAACACCTCAAGTTGCTGCATGAAACTTTCTTCACTCAAATCTCCATTTAGAAAGCCTTTTTTCACAGCCATTTGATGCAAAACCAAGTCATAGTGAGCTACAAGTGCCATTATAATCCTTAAAGCATCTTTATAGTTAAAACTCATGAGAAAGTTTCAGTGTAGTCTACCCCCTTCTTGTTGTGTGAAAACCCTTCTTGATGATGAATTACAGGTTTAGCTGGTGCATTGGTTTGGGAAGACATTTGATTTAATGGTAAAGCCAACACTTGATTTGTGACATTTGCATGTTCAGTTCCTATCTCTCCCTCTTCTTCAAAGACAAAATCTTTATTAATGCCTTCACTATCATCATGTTCTATAAACCTTGCTTTTCCAGTCTCCACAATTTTGTTTACATTGGGACAATAAAATTGAAAACCTTTTGATTTGTCAGCATATCCTATGAATCTGCAACTCACTGTGTTTTTGGATCAAACTTTGCAAGCTCAGGGTTATAGACTTTAGCTTCTGCTCTACACCCCAAAACATGCAAGTGATTTAGACTAGGTTTCCTTTTGTTCCACAGCTCAAAAGGAGTCTTAGAAACGGACTTGCTTGGACACCTATTAAGAACGTAGTTTGCGGTTTTGATTGCATCACCTCATAGAAACTTTGGGAGATCAATGTTGCAAATCATGCTTCTCACCATGTCTTTTAAATTCCTATTCCTTCTCTCTGATACTCCATTCTCTTGAGGTGTTCCAAGGTTTGTATACTAAGCAAAAATTCCACAATCTTGCAGAAATCGTGTCAATGGTGAAGGGTGTCTGCCTTGTTCATCATATTTTCCATACTACTCTCCTCCCCTATAAGACCTTAACACTTTAATCTTTAATTCTAATTGATTTTCTACTTCAGTTTTAAAGACTTTAAAGGCCTCAAAAGCACTGGATTTGTTTTGGATTAGATAGAGATGACAAAACCTAGTGAAATCATCAATGAATGTGATGAAATACCTATGTCCTTCTAGAGTTGGAACTAGGAATGGACAATAGATATATGTGTGAATGATTTCAATAACACTTTGGTTTGGAGTAGAACCTAATCTCCTTGAGTTAGTCATTTTGCCTTTAATGCATTCAACGAATTTGTTCTTTCACAAGGTATTGCATTCTTTTTCTAGACACATGGCCTAGTATTTTATGCCATAGCCTTGCTGAGTTTTCATTAATTTGGGATCGTTTTTTACCTATGGAATCAATGGTGAAAGCAACATTTAAATTGGAACAATTTAATCGAAACAAACCATCAATCAAAAGGTCATTGTCAATTGAACTTTTATTGAAATTCAAATAAAATCCTACCTTAGAAAAAAAAAACAAAAACAAAATGTTCCCTGGTTATCAACAAACTGAAATTAAGTTTTTTCTCATGGAAGGAACATAAGCAATAAAATTTTTTAAAAAAATCCTGAAACTAGTTGAAGTTGAACTGATCCTACTACAAGAACTACCACCTTCTTTCCATTTCCTAATACATGGTCTTGGTCTCTATTTGGTTTCCTCTAGCTTACGAAGTCCTGCAAGTAATTGGAAATGTGGATTGATGAACCAATATCAATCCACCAAGAATTAGAAAGCACATTGACATAACTAGACTCTAAACAAACTAAAACAGAGTTTGGTTTACCTTTAGCCTTCTTTTTCTCTACCCAGTGCTTATACTTATGACATTCCCTCTTAAGATGACATGTCTTGTCACAGAAAGTAACACTTAAAGACATTGGTTTTGTTACCAGCTAAAGTGTTAGAACCTTTAGAAGGAGAGTTAGCCTTAGTATTGTCCTTATTGGCAGCAGCAGATGAGTTCGGCTTAGGACGGTGTCTTTTTGGAGCTTTGGTGGTGAGATGAATTGTGTTTGCTTCCTTCTCCTTTTTCACTCTTGCCTCTTCTTGGATACAAACTGAAATCAGTTCATTGAGGCTCCACAATTCTGCTCTCTGGTGACATTGATCAAGCAACTCTGAAATATGAACCTGTCAACTATGCACGGTCGGTTCTGCCGTGGGCGGGTGACTGCGTTGTTTTCGCCTTTCTCGAGTTTCTGTTTTTGAGGGCGGATGAGGATGTTGCAATCTTGGAAAACTGCAGCTGAGTTTTAGAATATGAAATCGACATTGCCTTGGATGTTGCAAGACTTGTAGAACTGGAGGTTGCCTGTGCGTAGAGTGTCCTGGTTGCCTAAGAATTCACAGTTCTCAATCACAGAGAAATAACTGTCTAATCTAAAGGCTACTGCTTGGTGGATATCAACGCTTGTTGTGTTCTAGATTGTGAGCCCACTGGCCATGTACCCATCACCAAGAACTCCTATATAACAACAAGTGTTAAGAAATAATTAGCATCCTTACTTGCTCAGGAAACTATTAAAATATAACAAGAAAATTCTCAAGGAAAAATTGTTGCTTCCATGTCACTTTTTTTCCCTACAAAACATGGGTGAAGTTGTGGAAAAATGCAAACCAAAAAGAAAACATGAGAATCAAAATAATAACAAGTTCCAAATTAGAAGAAACACATTTCTGTTTCGTCCTATGACAAAATTATTGGTAATTGCTCAAAATGATAAGCAAAAATATTCTAATAAAGACATTCCATGACGAAAGTATTCTAGTTATAATTCAACTTTTTTTTTTAAAATAAATTTTTTTGTTAGGTGATTGCTTAGATGTAAATATTTTTTCAAATCCTCTTTTGTCAAATATTTCTATCTAATGATACAAGAGTTAAACACATTTCTGTTTCGTCCTATGACAAAATTATTGGTAATTGCTCAAAATGAGAAGCAAAAATATTCTAATAAAGACGTTCCACGACAAAAGTATTCTAGTTATAATTCAATTTTTTTTTTTTTAAATAAATTTTTTTGTTAGGTGATTGCTTAGATGTAAAGATTTTTTCAAATCCTCTTTTGTCAAATATTTCTATCTAATGATACAAGACTTATGTCTCTCTGTTTTATGTGTGTTGGGGTCTTTTTCCGTCGGAAGGCTCATCCGAGCTTATTGATTCTTGGACCGCCATAAAGTGGTGAAGCAAAGCATCCCACAGGAGAAGCAAGTCCTAGGGGAGTACTTTATTTTTCTTCCAGCGGCTGCGTGTTTTAGGCTGATATTTCCAGCAGCTAGACGAAGTAATGGAGATGGTGCATTGATGTTGCACAGGCTTGGCATGAGAGTTTGCTTTGGTGAATCAAGATACTACTAGGCTTGGCATGAGAGGCTTGTGGCGTGGGAGCTAAGAGAAAATGAGCATAAAGAAAGGATTAAGGCTTGAGATTTTGGGTGTTTTCTGCAACTAGACGAAGAGCTTGCGATGTCTAACTTAGCTTGAGAGGATGGGTGTTTCATATTTGAGATGGAACTTTTTGAGAGAGAGAGAGAGAGAGAGAGAGAGAGAGAGAGAGAGAGAGAGAAGGAGAAAGAGAAAGAGAAATGGAGATAAAGGATTGGTGGCTTGAGTAAATTAACAGCAGCTTGACAAATTTTTGGTCATGCTTTTGCATGGTTAAAGATGACTTGATGCTGTTGAACTGAGATTGTACGAACTTGGCATGAGAGCTTGGAGTGTGGGAGCTAAAGACCCGCAAGTTTAGAAAATGAGAATGCATGTGCTTGGCTTGTTATGGATAGGCTTGAGTTTGGGTGTTGAAAACTTGTTTGTGGCTATGGCTATGGTGACTTAAGAGTTTCAAGAGAACGATGATGGAAGGAATGAAGGAAACATGCATCTAATGCTTAGGAAATGAACTTTAGTCACAACCTATACAACAAAAACATTCTAAATGGCGGATTCATTTTGTTTAAACTAGTTGAGCTAAACCTCTTTCATTTTAAACCAAGTATCTTAGCCTAGTCTCTTTGAATACAAATAGAAAAAGGAAAAAAGGGAATAGATCTTTACCCTTGATGACATTTTCTTGATTTCTCAAGAATAAACACCTTTGTTGGAAAGGCCTTTTCTTTCTACTGATTTTGACTCTTTCACCTTAAAGCTCCAAGATTGGAGTCCTCTACGTCACCACACCAATGCTCCTAGAGATGAAGAGAAGGCAATCAAGAAATATGGATGCTAGTCTACTTTTTAATTGGACCAATTTTTGGTTTATGGAAGATGAGATACAAAGATGATCACTCATCAATCAAAGTAGGAAACCAAAGCCCTAGCTAGGTTTTCTCTAATACTTAGCTTATATAGGACAACACAAAAGGAAATTGAGTGGGTATTTAGGGCTCCATTTGGTCCATGGGTCATGTCATCTTATGCCACTTATCCCTTGGGCCCAATAGCCTTTTAGGCTATTTTGTCTCTTTCCTTTTAAATCATATTTAAAAGCCCAATCCAATATTTCTATATGTAAATATTAATTCCATAATTAATCTTTCAATTATAATTTAACTATTAAATTATAATTATAGTCTTACTTAATTGACCTGATCAAACTATTTGACTTTGGTCAATTGCTCCAGTCAACATGTAGACTTTTGACTGTTAACTTTGACATTCAATTATCAACCATTGACTTGTGTCTTCTCATTTCATTTCTCCTCATTTGTACCTCTAATCACATTCTTTGGGTGTGCAGATCTGTAGGTTCCCTTTAGCAAGGTAGTGGGTTGACTCAACTCTTCAGAGATGATATACGAATTAAATTCCATAATTTAATTCTTCCTATTAATAAAGGTTAATTGAAACTTTTTAGGACATCCACAAACTATGGTTGTCGCCTAGCAACAAGACACGGTTATCCGGGCTAAATGAGACATTGTGAAAGAACCTATTCAAATTGGAATGACCGTGCAATTGAATCATTCTCTTATGTCAATACTCCTTATTCACATTATTAGATCATGGAATCCGATTGTCAATATCCTAATGTGAATCATTCTTTTTATATGATTGTCCTAGTAAGATTTGAAGACTTCTTCTTTCAAGTCTTATCCACTACTCTGCACAGAGATTTAACCAATCATATCTTGGAGTATTCTCTCTCCTTTACTAAGAGTAGAGATTCCTTGTTGTACATTCATTTGCTTCCATGACTATATTGAGAATCCTGATGAGCACCTTTAAGCTATGCCTAATTCAGCATGACCGTATAGTGCCCTCAAAGATTAACAACATAGCCACAAAACATCCATGATGCCTTAGGTCTAAGGATTAGTTTGCACCATTGCAATTTATGAGTTTCATCTTGACATGTGAGTAAAGACTTCCATGCTGTAACTCATGTGTTGGATCGCATTCAGTGTACTTTTCTTCTACAATCGATGTGTCTCCACACTTAATGACTTGAGACCTTGTCATTCCCTACATATAGAGACGATACTGTATGTACTGGTCTTTGCGGAATATTGACGCCCAATCAATATTCCTATGACTAGGAACATATTCAAGATTTAGGGATGATGAGAAGTCTCTATGTATACAATCTCATTACATAACTCTCATATCCACTTGTGTATTCCTTAGATTATGGTTGTTCTATATATTGAAAGATAACATAGGATGATTTAATGTATAAAACAACATTTCTTGCCCATTGATAACATAATATGTCTTTTATTAAAGATGTCCTTAACTCTAACTATTGCATAATTAGTTGGTTTTAAGGGCATATTTCTAACAAAGACAAGTTTGAGGTTTGAAGGTTATGGTGTTTATAGCTTGAAAGGGTATGAGGAGGAAGGAAAATCTTGGAGTTATGCTTGGTGAGGCTTTATAAGGAAGATGAAGGATTTCAAGGATGAGAAAGTAGAAGAAATGGTTGTGATAGCTAAGGAATGGCTAGGGTGGTTGCTGGAATACTTGCAGCAACCGAAAGGATGAAGGAATGTGGTCTGATGGTTACTGGGGTGCTTGAGCAACCAAGAGATGGAGGTTGATGGCTCAGGAATGACTGTGATGGCTGCTGGAATGCTTGTAGTTGCTGAAGAAAGGGTGAGTTCTCATGGTTGCTGAGAGGCTTGCAGCAACCAAGAGGAGTTGGTTTTGCCTGAGCAATGCCTCCCAATTTATAAATGGTGAAGGCTCTCTTTGGTTTCTAATAGATAAAATGAAGTGTTGGAGCTAGTCTATTTTCAACGAATAAAAGGAAGCATTGGGACATTCTTATTTCCAACAGGTAAAGCTAGGCATTGGAAAATGACTATTTCCTATGGGTAAAAGGAAGTGTCGGAATTGGCTTGTTTTCAGTGGATAATAGGGAGTGCTTGAAGAATATCTTATTTGCTCACCCACATTGGAAAACTCCAAGTAATGGGCTTGGACTTTGATGCTCCCAAGTAGCTAGCCCAAAGTCTTCATTATCCAAGAGCTTCCATGGGCCTTGTGGACCTTCGTAACCTTCCACACCACAATCCCTCATGCAAGCCTCGTAAACCACATGACTTGGGTTCATGTGAGCTTGGTAGGTGATAGACATATGAAAAATGTATTATTTGCTTGGCATGGCATGCACACTATTTCTATATTTATTTAATGAATTAATTTCCAAAATATAGCTTAGATTAATGCATGACCAACATTATATGTTATATTGAGCTTTAAATATCTTTGGATTTCTCGTGACTTTTTGGGCCTTAACAATGTGTTAATAGTATGAAAGTTCTTTATTCTCGATAAAAACTTAACAAATTACATCTCTTGAAAATTAATCATAGAATAACTAACTGAACTCACACGAAATCATTTGCATTCATACAAGGGCCAGTTTATTAATTTTCAACATTTAGTTACTTTAGTTTATTTTTTTTTTTTTTTTTTTTTTTTTTTTTTTTTTTTTTTTTTTTAAAAAATTAAACAAACATACATTTAAAACAAACCTTCAAACCGGAAAAACCCATGACACACCACACAATTTCCTTTCGCCATTATGTAATTGTTGGGCTCAAGGGTTTTATAGGAGTCCCATTCTTTGAGAACCCAGTAAGGTCACACAGTCCGCACATCGTGGTTGTCTGTGGACGAGTCTAGAATATCTTTGACCATCTTCTGCGCCATGTGAAGGCCATCAGTGGAGACCTGGATGGCAGATTGAATGGTACTTACCATTAGGCCTTGTCAATGGGCCAAGCCAGGCTGGGGTTTAGAGAGGAGAGAGAAAATAACAGGCGCTGTATTTTTTGAAAATTCAAAGCCCAAGCCTAGCCCATGGGCCAGGCCAGTTTAAGCCCAACAGGGCGGGCCTAAATGGGCCTACTTTATTTTGTCTTTTTTTTAATATGTATTTTTTTGCCATTTTTTTTTTTTTTTCTATATTTTGGTGTGTTTCTATGTTTTCCTCATTTTTTCATAGTTCTCTATTTACATTTGTGTATATGTTTATGTCTCCATTTTTTTCTTTGTTCATAACTTCATAGTTCTCTGTTTTTTTTTCCCATAAATATAAAGATATAATTATACAACCCCATATTAATAAAATTACATTTTATCCCATACTTCATTTTTTTAGTTCTTACAATGATAATAGATAATGATTTTCTCCATATTTCATTTAACTTGGGTTTTTTTATATATTTATTTATATGTACGTGAGCCCGTGGGCCAGGCTTTTATAGGCGGGCCAGGTCGGGCTTTCATGGGCTCAAACTAGCCGGGCCGGGCCGGGCTTTAGACACCCAAACTCAAGCCCAGCCCACTCAACAAGCCGGGCTTTTTCTCAATGGGCCGGGCAGGCCCCATTGGCCCATGGGCTCGCAAGCCTAATGATGACCCCTACTTACCATTCCATATTGTAATTTTGGATGGCGAATTAATTCAATTCACAAATAATTCAGGAGCTCATGACAAAGACAGGTGAAATGACATTCAGCAGTACTGTACAGATCAGAAAGCTACTTTCATAACAATAACTGTGCTATCTTATTTACAGTGCAAGATTTGCAGATTACAAGAGCAATAATCCAACAAAGTACTTCACAATGGGAGAGAGATAAGCAACAATCAATTGCCCCAAACCAAGTGAAAAATATTTTTACTAGCACCCGCATTGACAACATTGTTGCTCTGTGTTCTAAGCATCTCCTCTTGTGCAGCCACGTCACCCTCCTATTTAAATAAAATTATTAAATTTGAATGAGTACAACGAAGGGGCGAAAAAAAAGGTGCAGTTCATTTAACCACCCAGCATACAGCAGAAATGAATTAAACAAATATAAAGGAAATGATAGAAGAAGATTAAATTATGAAATAAATAGATCATGAAATTAGGTAAACTCTTTAAGAAAAGAAGAAGAATAAAAACCACTATTGAAGTCATATGACATTTATGACTTCAGTAGAAAAGCTTAAGGATGGTCTTCACCAAACTAGTCTACCAATTATAATTTCAAACACTAGACAAAACATAATGGACTGTATAAGTTTCAATGTGATTTCAAAATTATTCTCCAAACAAATCATTTTATCCTTAACCACTTTCAAGAGAACATCTTCTTTAGGATCATCAATGTAAGGATTTCCTTTATTAAATGATATGCAACACAACTCAACAAGATTGAACAATAAAAACATGCAATTCTATTTGCATCCCCACTTCATCACTCCATAAATTTCATAATTCCCATTTTGTCCTTTTCCACCCTGTACCTCCTTCCCCTATGGCCATGATACCGCCAGTGCTGATTTGATTATTTTTAAGTTATTAAAAGATTGAAAATTAATGAAGGTGAAATGGAAAACTTTTCGGAAATGTTTCATGTAGGGAGATGTGATGCACAGAAAAAGCGTTGCAAATAAGATCACCCTATGTGGCACACTTTGGTGAAACAGATGGTAACTATCACATTTTAAATTCCAAAGGAGTGAGGACTTACAAGTAGAGAGTAGGCACGGGCAAGAGATGAAAGCGTCGGGTACAAATCCAGAACCGCTAAGGCAACTTCCTCAGTTACCTGGGGGACCTGCATTCAAAATTCAAGATGTACGTCTTGCTCATCACTGCATCACTACAAATATCCTACTTCTAGACCAAGCGAGAACCAAACTGTGTCATAAATGTTGATTCGAACAGCTATGGAGTAATTTACCCAGTTCTTCATCAAAGGGCATACACGATATTTTTAATGGAGTGTTTATGCTAAAAAAAAGGTACAACCAGAAGGGTGCGGTACACCACGGACAAGAACACATCCAGAAGAATCCAAGACAGGAGAATTTTTTACATAACTTGATAAAAATGTGTCTATTACTTTGATTTTTTTCTACATATAAATCTAAAAAGGAAATAATGTAGGAACGCAGAGTTTAATGTTATCCATTGTTTTTATACATGAATGAATCCATAGTCTGTTATATTAAGGGATCAGAGCCAACATCTGTCAAATAAGGGAATGATATTCTTTTCTGTCAGAAACAGTAAATACCTGCATGAGCTGAATGGCAAATACATCGCTGACTGTCATTTTATCCAGGTCTTCACACCTTTTGATAAATTCATCGAAAGAGGGGCAAATCCCGGTATGTCTATGTTGTTCCCCAGAATACTCTGATTTGTAGTATTGAGTTATTGCTTGAGTAAGATAAACATACTTCTTCAGTGTATCAGCCAAGCCAATGGTTCTCTGAACATCAAATCCCTCCAAAATTTCAGTTGTGAAACAGCTGCACAAGATAAGAATTATAACTGTTGAAGCGAAATACTAATAGTTACCTTTTGCAATCATTAGGACATCTATAGAAGGATTATTATATGATCCTAAGTGCAGCTTATGATTAAAAAACAAAAAACAATTATATCTTGCGTAAATATTTAGTTTTTCATAACAAGATACCTTTTAACCAAAGCCAGAGGTTTACTTTCCTAGTTTAAACATGATGACTCACACTAAATGAATATCTATAGTCATGCAGTAGGAAACGGAGCAATTAAGAATATTACAGGAATGCTTACGCTGTTTTAATGCTTTCTGCAGCTTCAGAACAATTTGGATCGCCTTCCAGAAGATATATCAGTTTCTTAAGTCCACACCTCTAACATATGCAATTGAAAGACCAAACATATCAGAATAACGTAAAAATAATATAATTTCACAGTAAATCCAACATCCATGAAAGTTGAACCATTAAATGCATGCAAAACACACACTAGAAGTAAACGAATTTCTCTAGTAAACATTGTCGCCAAAAGAGCCCAACATAAGTAGACAAAAGAAAATAAATAATAAACAAAGACAAACCAATCATTGTTTTAGTCATGAGTCATGACTAATCAGTTTTAGTCATTCACAACACCTGAATGTAGTGCATCATAGTATCCTTGCCCAAGCATAAAGTCAGGATGATATTCTATCTTCATTCAAGTACTGTTGTCCACATGCAGACAAAATCTGATGTCATCAACATGCATAAATGTTTTCTCCACACATACTTTTGATTAATCTACTTTCAATAAGCAAACAAATGTTTACCTTCAATGCCTACCAGTCGGTCTATAGACTGGGAAAATAAGAGCTTTGACAGTCATCAAGAATGCCAGAAGTGCATCTGGCCAAAAACAAACAGGCACCAAGGTATTTGCCTAGGTACATGTATACACTATACAGGATATATATTGTTACCTTTCAAGTTCATCATCCTTGACATGAGCATAGAAAAATGTTACAAATCCTCAATAGGAATATGTATTCAGTCTTTCTTCTAAAAGCAAATTCTGTTTTCAGATTCTGATATTCTCCTTTTCATTTTCTAACTAACGTTGGTTATTTAACATTTTCCAACTAAGATGCAGTAAATGCAAATAGATATTAAAAGGTGAAGGTAAAGTGCAAGAAACCCAAGTTGTGCAGTACTAAGCATGTGAAAAAAACAGCTTAGTTATGCTGCAACATCTGTAAAACAATATGCATGCAATATATAATAGCAACTTCACACATCAAATAAAGACAAAACCTTGAGTCTTTTCATTAAGAGCCAGTACCATAAGCCTCAGTTTCTGATCCCTGTAACGGTTGTCTCTGATTGAACAACGTAAATCATCAACTTTCTTCCTCTCAACAATAAAATTAAGTACATATTCGCTCTCAAGATGTTTATGACGAGCTATCCAGATTCCATCTCCAACTGGTAACCTCCTAACCTGTAGAAGAGTCAATTTGTTAACTCCCAACAAGTGGAAAGAAGATTTGTAACAAGAACAAAGACAAGAAAGTTTAGTAAGCCACAATTGTTTACATTGTGAAACAGCAACTGGAAAATTCACTGTTCTCAAAAATCTCAAAAATCATCTTAAGATGCCATGTGGATTAACAATCAACAATTTGAGATTTGAAGTAAAAAACACACATGAGGAACACTAAAACAAACCAAAATATTTTTAACAAGAAGAATGAAGGTTCCGGAGCCAAATACTTGCAAGTTCTCAAAGTTATAACTGAAAACTTGCCAATTTGAGTTTGGGTTTTAGCAATGGAATTATTTACAAAAAGGTAAAAACAAGTAGAATGGATTAGAAGTATGACTTTGCCATCATAAGTAGCAAGAGACCAATGTTAAAGTCAGTGGAAAATGTGGAGTTTAATTATAGGACTCAAAGCAAGTGGAGAGATTTTGCAAATCCCAGGCAAGAATAGGGCCGCTGAGGAGACATGCGGCCTTCTTAAACTACTAAGATGTCCCAGTGAGTTGAAAGTGAAACTGACTAGCTGAAGCCCTACTTATCCAAGTATGAATGGATCAACTCAGTTGAGTCCTTCATACAGGGGAAACCAAAATCCCATGGTAGGTTTTTTCCTTTATAGAGGACAGGGAAAAGGCCAAAATAAGCCCCGGTTGCAATGTCTTAGGTTCTCATAACTGCTTTTTATGTAACACAGCATTGATGTGGGAACAAACCAAAAAGGTAACGAGCAAAACAAAGATGAATGCATAAAAATAACACACTTGCAGTAATATTACTGATAATTCCACATGTAATACTTTTCAGAAAAAGGCCATTATCTTAGCTTCACAGAATTCACTGTGCCATTACATAAAAAACTAGCTCATAACTGAAGAGGGATAGATGAAAAGATTCTTCATTGTATTTAAAAGTTTCAGCTGACTCAATCATGAAGTAGCAAAATATGTCAACGCTATACAAACACACAAAAAGTAACAAAAACCAAAACCAAAAGTTGTCATGTTTTGCGAAACCGATACAAAGTAAAACATATAAAAAAGATACTCGACGGTACAAATTCTAATTAATGTTCAAATAAAGTATTAGAAGAACTAGCGCATGAACGACTTCGAGAACTGACCTCTATTTTGATTTTGAATTGAGTACGAACATTCTCAATTATTCTCCCAGGTCGTGATCTAAACACAATATATACAAAATTAATCACAGTTTTATGAACACTAGCAAACCAATGGACAAAGAATAGGAGTAAACACTAGTATTGAACATAGTACAAATGCAAGTATCCAACATGAAGAGTACATACAAGGGAGACCAGTTACAACACGACATAGAAATGATGACATGACAAATCTAAAAAATTCAGGAAATGGACACAGTGAAAGGTGCTCTCACTCACAACTGCCCCACTCTCTTCTCTCTCACTGATCTCCCTCCCTTTGAGCAATTGAGGTCGTGGGACTAGGTTTGAGAAAGGTCGCAGGGGAGAGGGGTGGGAAGAGGGCTGGGGGATGATCAGAGGAGATGATTGGGGAAGAATTTTGTTTTAATTCTGTTCAGCTTTCATCTTCTCTTACCATTTGCTCGTGTTTCTTTTGTTTTCATAAAATGCCCACAGAAAAAGCCCAAACGAGTTATTTGGTTTATTCCTCATTTGTGTTTTATGTTTCATGTTTCCCCTGTAGAGCCTATGTAGGGAAGTGTAAATACATAGAACAAAGGCAACCAAGGTTTCTCCCAGTCTTTGATTCTTCTCTTTTTATTTGTAAATTCTTTAAATTAATTTGATAAGTATGCTCTGTCTTTCATTTCAAAATAATTATCACTTAACCACAAAACTCTTTGATGTCAAGAAAGAAAACCAAGTATATTTCACTAGCTTCAACATGAAAAGAAATATGGCAGAAGAAAAATCATAAGTGACTGACCCCCGAGTGGCAAATTGCTCTCGATCATCCAAAATCAAGATCACTTCATATGCATCTTCAAATCTCTCCCCAAAGCTTAGAGGTGGCAAGGAAGAGACATTCGAACTTGCTTTGAAACCATCTGATCTAGACTTTGGCACATGATGACTCTAAGAAAATCAACAAGTCAATGAGCAACATATAACAGTATACTCAGCTGTGTTCAACACTACTGGAAAAGGTGACTTTCAAATCTAATAAAGAAGTGCTAAGAGGTTCCTACTTCAGTGTTGCAGATCTACAACTAAAATTAGTATGTGACTAAGGATGATTTTTAGTAAAACTCTGTATGAAACTATTTTGACACTTTCAATTTGACATGATATTTTCAGATAGATAACATTTTAAAAGAAGCCATCAAACTTAGCAACAAGGATCCAAAGAATCTAAGCCCCATATACGATTCATGGTTCTGCGGGCCTTTTGATAATCATAAATATTAACAGAGCTTTTGAGATTCTCCCTCACCCATAGGTAGATTTTGGAAGAAGCACTGAGGAAGCCTCAACTGAAATTTCACAACCAAAAAAAAATTGTACGCAGTCAAATAAAATAAAACTTTTTTCTGGGTTTACAATTGGAAAACAAGATCTGGATTCTACTCCACTTAAAATACTGAGCAGACAATTTTTGTGCATAAGAAAAGCCACACACAAAAAAACAACTTCGTCTGTTCAAAAATTCCCAGGAATCATTTCCAAACTAACTTCATTCATCTCAAAATAAATTTAACACATTTCTTATCGACATTTTAGCAATAAATATACTTAACGACTCCCCTTTGAGCTTCAAAGGATGGGAAGAAATAGGGGCAAAGTAAGTGGGTCCGCATCCCATGACATGACAGGATATTATGGACAAAGAAAGCCCAAATCAGAGGGAAGGTCTAAACTGAACTGAGCAACCAAGACCAAATGCTTTAATTAAAAGTTTAATCTTGGAAAGGAGGGTGTTCAGCAATTATAATAAATCAATGAAGATTGAAACTGAATATTATTCCCAGTCCACAAGTCAAGATAAAATTAAAAAGCTAGTTAGACATATACCTTCTCAATGTACAGCTGTGGAATATCAAATGATTTCTTCTTCCTACTCACAGCAGTGGATAACAATATCATTTCTGTGGATGAGTCAGGATGAGCAAGCTCCTGATGTGAAATATTGTCCACATCCAGAACAGAAAGCACTTTGGCATTAGCAGTTTTTTCAATGGGGTTTTCCATACCGGACCTCATGAGACATTCACGTGCAGCTTCCTGACCTTCTTGACTAAGCATGTACCTGCAGTTTCTAGATACATCACCATATGCTAATAGCAAAAATGCAATCAAACCGCAACTTGAAAACTTCCAGGTCTACGTTTATAAGAACTGCTCGCCATAATACATCATCATTTGCTTAAGCCTGTAATCAACTCAAATGTCAATTACCTAAAAATAAAATATTAGCCCATTGCCGGTTGCCAAGACATGCTTCTATTAAATGGAAAAGAATTAAGTATTGCAACAACGATTCTAATAAATTTCACATGATAGTTATCTGTAAATCATCATTCATGTGAAGCAGATCCTTCCTACTATATACTTTTGGTTGTGAATGATTTTGTAAGTAATTCATTTTTCATAAAGACAATGTAGTTTATTTTTCCTTGTTCTGCGTAAATTTGTGACGGTCATAAGGCGAGAGCTCTTGCCATTCAAATTTACAAGTACAGAGGCAGGAAAACAATATAAGATAAATATAAAATTCCTAGACAGCATAACAAAACAAGAGAAAGAAATGTAGAAACAAATAAATACTTTGCTGGGCAACTTGATTTGATAACCAGCCCCTTGGTTACCAATGTCCTCATGCAGGACCATCCACTATACCACTCCCTTGCAGAACTCCCAAAGCGTCCAGCTTTTCCCTTTCCCTTATCTGGCCTAAAAGAGCAGAGAAACCCAGTCTCAAAACATCACATACATTCAAATTAAACCCAAATAAACAAAAATAAAATAAAAGATAATTACAGAACTAATATCATAAATTAATATACATAATTGGCACACGAGAAAGCCCACTTGCTTCAGCTGCATCGATAGCTCCTGTTTAAGCATAAATTCATTCCCATTTCCAATTCCCCTGATGATAACTTAACATCAGAAAAATCCAATTTCATCAACAACAACCAAAAAGTGACAATAGAAACTCAACCACAGCTGTGTGAGAGTGCACTGCATTGCATATTAGCTAAAGAAAATTCCAGTTTACCTGTAAAGTGTAATCAACAATGCATATGCTACAGAATTCTTCTGAGGAACATAGCGTCTGCTTCCTTTGGTTCTCTTATCTAAAACAAAATGCATATTGGACAACAAAACTAATGAATTTGACATGGAGATCATATAAACAGAGAATGTAAAGTCAACGATGAATGAAACGCACAGTCTTTAGACAAGTCTTCTGGTTCAGAGCTGCCTGAACCGGTCTCGGAAAACCCTTGCATAAGGCGCGAAAATCAACTTCACCACGTCGCTTGGAACGCCTTCGGAAAATAATGTGTTGAGAGATGAAGAAGAAGGTGAGAAAGTTGGGAGGAAGCCTTAACGGGCCAGCGGAATTAAGTAGGCGTTTTCGGCCCAATGTATGTAGGAGTGAGGGGAAATTTTTTTAACACCATACCCAATTTCTGTCTCTAGACACCCTTTTTCATTTTATTTTTTCTTTCAATAATGCCATGTAGTTATGCCTCCTATATATGAAACTCATGTTGTATATGTGAGTATGTAAACTATTTGGTGGATCGTAGTTCTAGTGAGAAAGGTTAATATTCTTTTTTCTTCTGTCAAATGAGAAAGGTTAATATTCTTCAAGTTAGTGATGTAGTTAGGATAAAAACACAATTGAATTTGAGTTATAACTTTTCATTTTTTTATAAGTCTGTTGAGGCCCAAATATATTTTCGGCCCAGTACAACACCAAGCGGAAAATCCTTATTTAAGTAACATGCCACGTTACAAGCTTAAATGAGCCTAAGCCACGCGAATTCCCCTGGCTTGCTCAATGGGTTGTGGTATGGATGATTACGAGTATTCACGAGGCCCATTGATGGGCCAAGAAGTAGAAGTTTTGGGCTACTTGGGAGCACCAAAACTCGAGCTCATTTCTTGCGCCCATGGGTAAGTCTGAGAAAAGGAATGGCCCAATAGGTTAGGAAAATATCCAATGGCTTGCAAACACTTGGAGAAATCCCACATCAGCCAAATATTCAGCACCTTGATCAAATAGGTTATTTCTAGCCATCTAAGCAAACTCACAGACCACTGGAAACAAAATATCAATAGCCTAGCCCAACATCGTGGAAAATATCCAGCATATCTGTTAAAACCATAAAAACCAAGCAAACCCATGTGCTGATCACCTTTTTTGACTAGCACCCTTACTCATTCTTTCCTCTTTAGGCTTTGGTAAGAAAACAAGAAACAAAAGTGGGTGGCTCCTCACCCACATGGAGAAGTCCAACTGCCTGAGGACCTTGGAACTCCAAAAAGCTTCATGCCTACATGCTCAGGCTAGGGAAGTTTCACCAAATAAGATGGAATGGAAGAAAGTGAAGGAAAAGGGGAGAGGGTGGCTTGATAAAATTAAGGTTTTCAGTGCCTATAAAAGGAGCCACTTTCTACTCGGCAAAGACAACTCACCTTGGTTGCTGCAAGCCTCCCAGCAACCATGAGAATTCATCGAAGGCAAGCATCCCCTCTGGCCATTTTCTCTTCTGTCAAATCACCCAGGAGCTTGATGAAGCTTTCATCAAGCTGTTGGAAATATTCTGAAGCCACCCATGCTTCCATCTTCTTCCTCTCTTTTCATAAACGCACATCCACAGAGCAATCATCATCTCTCATCCTTGAAACCCCTGCAATTTCGAGTCATATTCCTCCATCTCCTCACATCTTCTCTTTTGTAAATCACAGCTCTTTCTCTCTCTCATGCTAAACTCATGAATGCTCAGCTCCCATGCTACAAGCTTCTCATGTCAAGCTAAGAATTTATCTGTAAGCGACTGTTGGTTTCATTGGTGAAGAAGACCAAAGTGTTTCCTAAGGTTCAGCTACCCTTTTGAAACACTCTTGGGGCCTGATCCTTGAACTCAGACACAGGGGCAGCTTCACCTGTTTCTCTTTTGGGGTAGCCCAAGCCTATTCGTCAGGTTACTGGAATAAAAAGACCCCTACAAAGTTAAAATGAGTTTTGGAGCATATGAACAAAGCAAATGTTAGAAGTAATTCCTATGAATTGACGGTTTATTTTTCTAATTTTGAATGTATTTACTATAGACTAAGAATGTTAAACCATAGAAAAATAATAATAAATTGAAAAAAATGACACTTGGCAATGGTGGAAAGGTGCGTCATAAGCACTTTTGACGGGTGTTCTTTTACCATAGCATCACATGTCATTTAAACTTCACTTTTCTTGTTTTTATCTTTAAAAATTCACACAAAATTATTTTTAAAAATCATAAAAATACAATTTGCTATAAGGCTTATTACAACATTATCTTCGATTATAAAGTTCCAAATCAAATTTTGATTTAGGAAAATTAGAGACTAAAAATTGGAATTAGAGTTCTAGTGAAGAAGGCTAATGATTCAATTTAGTATTATAATTAGTATAAAAACAAAATTGAGTTTGAGTTATTAATGTATTTATTACGAATTTAGGAGATTAAAGCATGAAGAAAAAAAAAGGAAGAGAATGACACGTGACAGCAACAAAAGGATCCATCATTAGTGTTTCTAACGGGTATCAATGTCATTCTCTAGTAGTGCCACGTGTCACTAAAACTTCATCTCTTTTATCTTAAAAAATTGAGTAGTTACTTGATAAAATTCTAATAAGTTTACCCAATACAGAGAGACATTTCCAAGCAGAGGCAAGTTGGCTCCACAAAAGTATTCAAGCAGAGGCAAGTTGGCTCCACAAAAGTAGTTAAGTATGAATTTAGAAATTGAGGTTTTCTTGGCCTTAAACTTAAAGAGGAGCTCCTCCGTTTGGAGAACTTATAAGCTTCAGTATTGTTTTTTTTTCTCTCCAAGTTTAGCTATGGAGGGAGTCTCTTGTGTCAAAAGATATGTTGCAGAGTTTTGTGGAGGTTATCACTAACCGCCCACTTAGCTTCTCTAAATCCATGTTCATAAATTTGGTTAGGATTCATTGCCATCGTGTATGCTAAATATGGTTTCAACTTTCTGGAAAACTGAGGGCCAGTTTGGCATTGCTGTGCTATGAAAATAATCGCTGTCAGATTTGCTGTGAGAGAAATCAGCTATGAGAGAAAGCAGTTTGGCGTTTGGTAAACTTTTTTTTATAAGTGCTGTTTGTACAATAATCAGTTTCTGAGTGTTTGGTAAATTTTTTGTGAAAGTGCGTGAGCAGTGTATAATGACTAAAAAGGGCATTATCTTGAATTGGCTTTTCTGTTTAAGTTTGGTAAAAGGAAAAGCACTTTTATTCTATCTTATATATAAATTATTATTTTTTTATATTAAATATGTTTCCATCACACCCTAAATTTTGTTTTAATTATAAAATAAATAAAGTTTCCATTGAAAACAAATATATTGTAAAAAATATGGTCATAACAAAAACTAAGCTAGTCATGAACAAGCAATCATATACATTTCTATGTAGATGAACTCATTAAACTTGCGCCTATATGATTTCTCAATGCCTCCATTTCTTGTGTTGCAGGGCCATCTTCTTGTTGTGCATCAACCTCTATCTCAATTTCTTCACCTTGAATACTATTTAGGTCATCTTCACTTTCATCAAAATGACAATCACGTTTGGCATGTCTTCTTATATAGTTATGAAGTGCCATGGTTGCAATAACGATTTTTACTTGTTTTGCAAAAGGATAACTAGGCATGTCTCGTAAAATACTCCATCTCTTTTTCTATACTCCAAAAGTGCGTTCAATAACACTTCTAAGGGAAGAGTGTGCACGATTGAATACCTCTTTATGACCCATCGGTTGAACACCCCTACGAAAATCAGGAAGATGATATCTTTCACCTTTATATGGTCCTAAGTAGCCTCTCATTTGTGGGTATCCCGCATCTACTAGATAATATTTTCCTAAAAAAGAAATTTAATTGATTATTCACAATGTTAAAAACTTAAATATAAATTATATGAATTTTTTCTTTAGATAGAAATAATACCATATGGAGGTTTAGGAAAATTCAAACTTTGATCACGTAAAGCCGATAGAAATATCCTTGTGTCATGAGCCGTGCCTTCCCATCCAGCACATGCAAATATAAATTGCATGTCAAAATTGCATGCAGCCATCACATTTTGGGTAGGTATCCCTTTTCTACCAATAAATGGTATTTGATTAGAAGGAGATACTATGGCTTGGACATGAACACCATCTATAGCACCAATACAATCCTACAAGAGATAAAAAGACATGCTTGATAATAATTATAACATAATAAACATAGACAAATATTTAAGAGTAGCAGATGCAATAGTTACCTTGAAATGAGGCATATATCTAGAATCCTGTAGGATTTCCTTTGGAGTGTTGTTAAATGCATTTTCCAATGGTTTAATTACATCTACAGCCAAACGACATACAACATCAAGTAAGATACCAAAATATCTGCTCACAGTCTCACCAGAATGTTGAAAGCGATCCTGTGCTTGCCTATTTGCAGAACCATGTCCTAAGATGTTCAAGAACATCCCTAACATCTCAGCAGCACTCATTCTTCTTGAACCCTTTAATCCATAATTTTTTTGCAATTCATCACACAATCTTATAAATACATCTTTGTCCATCCTAAACATATATATATAGACACATATAATAGAACAAACTGGAAATTATCAAACAACTATCTTAAGCCAGTGTAAGTAGCATAAAGGAGAACAATGGCGGTATCAGCTCTGCAACTATCTTAAATGGAGGATTTTCTTAGCTCGTCGATTATGGATGGAGTTGTTCATGCTAATACATGCTTGACAAGCAGAGAAGCTTCACCTAGAATCTTCTTCATCAAGTGCTCATTTGGGCATTTGAGTTTCTTAAAATAGATGGGTTCACTAAATCCCTAAATTCCTTTGTTCCTAAATCCCAACATTAGAAAGAAATAATAAAAAGAAGAAGTAGACAAGAATTGAAGAACCTAAAAAGAAGAAGTTATGCCCAAGATAATACAGAAAATTCCAAGTAAAAAATACAGCTTCATGCTTTGGAGGTTGACCTTATTTGCCTCGAAATCTATTTGCCTAATTCCAAGAAGAAAATTCCAAGTAAGAAAATTCCAAGAAGTACCTCCTTGAAATCTATTTGCCTATTTCCCTTTTCTATACCAATTGAACCAGTTTATTGACCCCATCAGGAAGGGGCCCCAAAACCCATATACAGAAATGTCATTCTCATGCCAAAACGAAATATAGAAAACAAACAGCAGCTACAATTGAAAGTTAAAATCCTAGAAATCAACGAGAAAGAGAGAACAAGGAAATTGAAAATAAATAAACAGAATATGCGGCTCTTACCTGAATCTTGTAGTTTAGTAGTGCGATTCAATTTATCCAACCAGAAAAAAATCGTAGGCAATATGTGGAAGAGAAGGAGAGGAGTGATCTCTGTGAAGAGATGGCATGAAGAAGAACCAAGATAGTTAAAACCCTAAAAATTAAAGAGAAAAAGGGAAGAACGAAATTGAGAAGAAATAAACACAATATGTCTCTTACTTGATTCTTCTGGCTTCTTAGGATTGCGCTTCAATTGATCCAACAAGAAAAAAATGGAGGAAGAATGGAAGAGAAGGAGAACAATGCTCTGTGGCTTGGGATAGAGAAGACGCACGAAGAAGAGGAGAGCGTGAAATCATGTTGGGGTATTTTCGGAATATTTTAATTTTCATTAAACCCAGCGCTTTCTCAAATCTGATTGTCGCATAATCAGAAATTGAAAGCAGGTCATTAGCTGCTTTCCTTTATTGCTTTCTCCCACAACGATTTTTAATAATAAGTGATTTTATCACAGGTTACCAAACGGGCTGGGCTTCCCAAAATTTTTAAAAAATCACTTATCATTCCAAATAAGCAATGCCAAACGGGCACTGAGTCTGCTTGGTTGTGTAAGACTCCAAACTATTCTTCTCCTTATCACAAAACCAATCTAACCATTGGTGTCCGATTGCTTCGCAAATACCTTCACAAACTGTTTTATCCAAATTTGTACAACCTATTACAAAAAAAAAAAAAAAAAAAAAAAAAAAAAAAAAAAAAAAAAAAAACGAAGATATCGATCGATCGATGTATATTTTTTAAAAAGGTTTGCATCAACATTTTTGGTTCCTAATATACTAAAGGGCTTTTCATTAATGTAGTAGTAGATACAAAAAGTGTTAATAAAATAATATATTTGTGGACATCAATACCTCTGTCCATTAATTTTATTTATTTATTAATAGTAATGTAAATATGTTTTCATTACAAGGGAAAAATAGCTAAAGAAAAACTTAATTATTTTCAAATTAAGTGGGGCGTAATCTTGATTTCGAACTTTGAAGACGTAACCATGCAAGCATCATCTCATGCCGCAAAATATCACTCATTGTTACCCTCTATGCAATAAAATATTTATTAAAATAAAAACTTTTTTTAGAGGAAGCAAAACTTAAAAAGAAACACGAGAAAAATTTGGAGCTCATATCTATTTGCATTTGGCCAAAAAGAATTAGCTGTCAATAATTCAATTTGATAGAAAATCCGATCCGATGTGTTTGAATGTTAGGATCCAACTTTGGATTGGATTGGATTGAATTGGATGCTTGACGAATGGGTTTGGGCTGCCGTAAGAAGGAAACGAACAAAAATTCCCCAAGTGCCTGAGTTCGAGAATCAAGCTCCCAAAAGAGTTTTTGAAGAGTCTAATGAAACTTTAGAAAAACTTTTTTAGGCCATCTTCACTAATAGCCAAAAGACACAACAAATCGATAAATGACTTAGCCTGAGGAGCTTGTGGCATGGGAGCTAAGCTTTCACAAGTTTAGCAATTTGAGAGAGAGAAAAGCATGAGTTTCTTACAGAGGACAGAAATTTAAACTGGGGCAGAGGAAAATTAGGAAGATTTTTATCTTAGGAAATGAAGAAAACAACGGAGGAAGAGGATTGGGTGGCTTGAGTAAATTCTAGGTTGCTTGACAAAGCTTGGTCAGGCTCTGGATGGGTTGGTTTTCTGGATAGCAAAAGCCCTCTTTTATAGGCAAAAAGAACCCTAATTTCATCTAACCCTTTCCTCACTTTCTCATTGCTTTTTTCCACTTAATGTTTTTTGGTGAAATTCTTCCATCCAAGGCGCATGGGTAAGGAACCTTTTGTGATTCCAAGGTTTTGACGCAGCTGGACCTCCCCATAAGGGTGAGGCGCCACCTGCTTTCCTTCTTGGTTTTCCAAATAAAGCTTATAATGGAAAAGAAGATGGGTAGAGCTTTTTGTCCGATGGGTATTCTTCCTACCTTCCTAGATTTCCTTCGGTCTCTGCCATGGCTCCTTTGTTGACTATCCTTGGAGATCTAACAGGGGTGGAACTTGGTACCAGATTTTTATAAGTGGTTGGGCTGGGCTTGTATGCACGGTATTGGGATATTGGCCTATTATTTATAGCGTTTGATAGGCTTTCATCAAGTTGCTGGAAATGGCTTTATTAATTTTGGGCATTCTATTGATGTGGGCTGGTCTAAGTGTTATGGCAGGCTACTAGGTGTCCTCCTAAGGCATTGGACCATTTTTCCCTTTTTCTCTCATGTTAACCCATGTATTTGGGTTATAGGAACGGACTTGAGTTTTAATGCCCCCAAGTGGCTTAAAACTTTCGTTCCTCGAACCTTCAATGGGCCCTGCGATCGCTTGTTCTCATCCATATCACAACCTTCTCAGCAAGCCCTAGGTAATTTGTGGCTTGGGCCTACTTAGGCTTGTAGCATGGTTGGATGCGACATAATAATTTCCCGTTTGGCATGGCATGTTGCTTGGCATGTTTTTTAATTATGATGCTTGACGGGATAATTAGCACAGATTTGTAGAACTAACGCGTTTTACAATCTTAATCTCGATTCCTAGCACGATGGATTATTTATTTGGCATGACATGCGAAGTGTGATTCGTGCATGGCGAATCTTTGCGTTCTCCAAATTGGGCCTTTTCTAAATAATACGTCATTTTGGGCCAGAAATTTATTTAGGCCCATCCGTGGATTTTAAAGGGCCTCAACGTTAGCCCCTTAATTATAAGGGCCATGGGCAGGTGCTGGAATGGGCCGAATAATTAAACCAACCCAAGAAAAATCAGATTTGTATTTGCAGGGAACCTCTTTTCTTCCCGTGTGCAAAATGACGGCGTGTCATGATTGGCCCTAGCAGTTATTTTCAGTTTCCCAACGCCAACCGCCTTCTTCCTTTCTTTTTCTATTATTTTTCTTCTTTTCTTCCTCTTTTGTCGTACCAAACCTAACCTTCTTCCAATTTTCTTTTCTTTGCTCCCTTCACCTTCTCCAATAGACTCAGACTGAGTGAGAGAGTGAGATCGGGCAGAAGTCATCTGCCTCCAATCGTTGGGAAGAAGCCCAAGCCAAGTTCGACTCCACCATCCCTCCCTCAGTCGAAGGAGTCCGCTCGTCTCTGCTGAAGGGGACCTCTTTGTGCGAATTTTCTTCTAAAATCCCCAATTTCTCTCCTTTTCTTGGTGCATTCAAGGTCTTTCCTCGAGAGATTTAACAAGGTATGCTTTCTTCCTTGTTTTCTCTTGAATTTATTTGGGAAATTTGCTGGGTTCCTTCCATCCATGAATGTTGCTCTTTTGTTTTGGCTGTGAAACACCAAACCCTCTCTTGACTTATTTTGTTATTGCAGCAACGTGGGTGCTTACAGCATGGGTGCTTACAGCATGGGTGCTAGCAAAGAAGGATTTGCATCCATCTTCTGAGGTTCCCTTTTCTTTGATTTGCTCTAATTGTTGGAAAGGTACCAAATATTGTGAGAAGAAACCGTTAGCTTAGGTTTGTCCCCCTTTTCCTCTTCTTTACTTTTATCTTGCACTGACCTCTTCTTTGTATATGAAAAGGTTGAACTTGGCATGATGTGCTTTCTCTTTTGTTTATTTCTGTGCAGGTGCATACGTCTCAGGCATAGGTGGGGCAGGTGCTAGAAGCCTTTGACGTTTCTGCCACTGGAACCTTCAATCCTTCAGCCTTCTAACTTGGATATTTGGGGCTTCTGCTTTAATATGTTAGTAAGTAACTCTGCCAATTTGAATATTTCCAGGAATAAGCATAGACTGGTGCTTGACCTAGGCTTACTCTCCTTGTGAACACATGCTTGATTAATTTATAGACTTCATTCTCGAGAAGTAGGAACGCATGTCTTGCAATGCTTGATTTTTGTTCCGAAAGGGAATTTGCTTGTCATGCTTATTGATTCACAGGATGAGAACTTTGTTTGTCACGAACTTGGGTCATAAATTGCATATTTGCTTGAACTCCTTTTTTTCTTTTTTTTCTTGTATGCAGAGATTTGTCATTTTGCCAAAACTGGTCATGGCATCCGCTGATCCGTCGCCCATTATTAGGGACCATTTTTATTCCCTAGATGACATATTAAAAAGAGGGAGGCCTCCTCCTTTGCTTAAGAGCGCTGGTAAAGACATATTCATTGATGGAGAGCCAGCGCCAGAAACAGCTCCAGTGGTTGATCCTGCATAGAGAGGGGCCTATTTTCGGCAGTCCCCTTATTCTTCCAATATCCATGTGGCACCAGTAAAGGTTGGTCAGAATGGGTTGACCGTGAATTGAAGGACCCGTCCTCCTGTGACATCCTAAATCGGGCAAGGGTGTCGGACACTATCTTTATTTTAAAGCTTGCGACATCCATATTGAAGCCAAGATGCTCCGACATGTGGTTAGGCGATGAAGTACCGAGACACACACATTTATCTGTTCATGGGGAGATTTTACTCCCACACTTGAGGACGTAGCCAATATTTTCCACCTTTCATTTTGCAGCAGCCAAGATCCTTTCCACATCGCGCTGACTCTAGAAGATGAACTAAAGCTTAAGGCTTTACGAAAGGGTGCCCTGACTTCTCCTAGCACTTCTCTGCGGTTTAGCAATTGGATATAGTTTTTCGGAGATGTTAACAAGAATGAGCCATGTCGTCTTGCAGCGCTTATATCATTATGGCTTGAGAGATTTCTCTTATGTGATTTTTCCCAAGACTGTTTGCATGAGCGGGTGTTTCCTTTAGCCTTAGTGATAGCATGTGGTAGCGTGCTTCCTCTAGCCCCCATGTTCTTGGGACACCTATACTGCTTGCTTGACCAAGTTCAACTTCTTGAGAAAGGGGCGGCAGGAACCATTGCTGTGGAAACCAAATTCCAACACTCGCTTGGAGGAGCAGGATGCCTTAGGCATGCCTCCCGAATTTGTTAGTGACCATGAACGGAATGTTGACATTAAATCGGTATCAAATAACCTTCTTGCTTGTGTTGCGTGTTGCCTGTTGTGACTTGCAACTCATACCCCGTATTTCTCCCGCAGGTTGTGCCCACCGTTGAGGACATGGCAAGTTGCTCGCCGGAGGCTGGCCTTGGCCCTCCTGCTACCGTTCCTAACACTGTGCAGACTGTCGGCAAGGTATTTATCGCTTACTTTTCATCTTCCATGCTTATTTGCTTCTCTTTTTCTCGTGCCATTTATTATTTTGGTTTATTTTCCTTCACATCTTCTCTCCCCTCCCCCTCCCCCCCCCCCCCCCCTTTTTTTTTTGGTCGAGAGCATCTCATAAGGGGCGGAGGATACGCTTCCTTCTCCTCATCTTGGGACGTCCAGCGTAGCTGCTGACACTACCCTATGTCTTCCAGCAGTGCAGCCTCCTGCTCCTCCTCTCCTAGGGACACCTCTTCACAGCTTCCAACAGCGTTGCCTCCTACTACTCCTTTCCTAGTCACACTCGACACAGCTACCGACACCTCTCCCTAGCTTCTGGCAGTGCCGCCTTGTGGTGAGATTATTGATGACAACCATAAGGACGGTGATGCTTCCACCTCCGTGGGGCATTTGTCAGAGAAAAACATGTCTTGGCAAGATTGAGAGAATTCCTTCATGGTGTTCAAAGCCTTCTTTGATGGTGGTGCTAAGATCCTCCGATCTATCGATGAGCTTCTTCCGCTTTGTTAGAGGTTTGATGATTATGCATCCTTTCAAGGCGCCTTTGTGTATCCAGAGACAGTCGTAGTTTTGAGAAAATTTATGGATTTCCATGGGAGTTTCATGGAGGTCACCGATATCACCTCCTCTTTCTTGAGAAGTGCCGCCTTCCGAGCTCTTGGCTTGGTGCTTCATGGGATAGATACCATGGAGCTTCTTGATATCATCGACTATAGACTACTTTGTTGGCGGGACGCAATATGCGAGGCCATAACTCTAGGCTTTCATGTGGACTTTCTCCTCAACCTTGTGAGGAACCTAGCATGTGCCGTCTTTGGAGCGCGGATCATTCATAGCATGAAATTATCACAAGGTTCTAATGAGGTAAAAGTTGCTGCCGACACCTTGAACACTAAGCAGTAGGAATTGGAGAGTCAGCGCTGGGAAGTGCATGCCCTTCTCCTTGCTAAGGGTATTTCTGCTGACAATGCTGAGTGTGTGACAGAAGCAGCAGCCAGATCATCTCCTAGGGCTTCCTCCTTTTTTTTTTTGGGCATTCTTCATAACCTCAAAGTACATAATTCTTCTCTTCTTTTTTCTCTTTCTTTTTTTTTTTATCGGGCTACACCTTCTAGCATCACTTGGTCTTGACACATATCTTCTTTCTTCTTGCAGGTTGTCTCTTCTTGGCTTGGTGATCGATTATCTTGGCGCGTGGTTCTATTGGAGACCATAGGCTACATGAGTCTTTAGCATGTTGTTTTATTTTTTTGGGTTTGACTTGTTGTGGGTTGTGGGTTTTTTTTTTTTTTTTTTTTTTTTTTTTTTTTTTTTTTGTCTTTTCTTTGGACACTTAAACCATGTCGTTATGACTTTGTAATATAGTGTTGAATCACTGGAGCTTGTATTAATTTCTGAATGCTTAAGGCATGTTGTGATCTGCATGTCTTTTATATATATATATATATATATATATATATGCTTGGTTGGCAAAATTTGTTTTTATGAATTGCTTGAGATTATCTGATAGGTTGGATATTCTTAAAAAACAAGGTACATGCTGCCAAAATTTTGTCTAACCACTAAGCCTGAAAACACCTTCTTGTCATGCCTAAAAAGAGCCAGACTAGTATGTGCATGGTCTTTGCCAGGGTTTTGTAAAATTCCCAAATGTTTTTGCATATTCAGGTTGCTTATCAAAAGGGGACAATGATTTCATTTTATGTAAAGGGGGTTTAAAATGTATAAAGGGGTAATAAAACTTCATACACATATATTTTTTTTTCAAAATAATCCTTCATTCTCATTGCAAAGCCCCGTCTATTATGAAGGTGCACCATACAAAAGCGTCTTTTTTTTTCTTCAAAACATGAAGGTAAGACAGAAGGAGTTCATTTCTAAAACAAAAGGAAATGCAACAATAAAAAGTGCTTGACATAAGATTAAATTAGCAGTAGTAAAGCTTGAGCCACTTTGCATTGATGAATATTCCAATCAAATCAAGCCCCCAAGTATGAAAGGGTCAAGGAGTGTGCATGACTTGCAATAGCATGAAAGCTTGTGGCTTAGGTTGACATGTATTTGGCATGTGTTATACAAGGCTTCCATGCTCTGCAAAGATATTTAACAGAGCCACAGCTGTTGTTTTACTCTCACGCGGCTTATGACCAAATTAATCAGAGAGTGATTTGCAGCTCTTATAAGAGGTTACAACAGCTGTTTCTCGATAATCTTGTTGACCAAATGAAGCCCCCAAGTGATACTCTTCCTCTTCACTCTTCCAAGCTTCATGCCCATTTAGTTTAACAGAAATGCTTGTTTTCCTCACTGCTTTTAGCAGCCAAGAAAATTGGCTGATGCCAATATTCTCCAAATAAACTCTATAATTTGCCACAATATTGCTGATGCAAATTTCGACAAGCGCCTCCTCATCTTTCTCATCGTAGCAATCTAACGCTAGGTACCGGAACCTGTGGACAAAGTCCACGGGATCCTCACCATGTTTTTGGCGAGTGTTATTGAGTTGAGTGCTGGTAATTCTTTCTTTATGCTGGAAATAATTTTTACATAACCTGCTTGTCAAATCCTCCCAAGAGCAAACAAAGCCTGGCGCCAATGTCGTATACCATGTGTAAGCACGATCGGTAAGGCTCTTCGAAAATTATCTAAGTCGGAGGTTATAATCACCAGCATGTGGTCCCAAAGCATCGATGAAGCGGTTGACATGCTCCTTCGGGCTCCCTTTCCTTCTGTCGAAAAGGACAAAGCTTGGTGCTTCATAGCCATTGGGGTATGGCTGTTGGAGTAGGCTTGATGGATATGGTGGCTGAGGGACATATTTCCAATCCTCATGGCTTCGGCTTACTTTATTCTCCAGCATGGCAATGACATCTTCGTGAGTGACAAAAGATGGTCCCTTTTGTTCAGAACCCTTTCGGGCAGCAGCAGATTCCTTTTGGGGTGGTCTTTCGTTTTCTTCGCTTGGCTTGGAGACTAAACATTTTAGCTCTTTGATTGTGTCCACCATCTCCCTCTGCGTTTCCCTCATAACATGGATGGCTGCAACAAGGTCTGTGAGGGTGAAAGCTCCCTCATTTGCATGTTCTTCTTTTCTATGTGAGGTATTTTTCCTTGACTCCGAGTCATCGTGGTCCAGCTCGTCTTGGGAAGTCATGTTGTTGCTTTTGGTCTTCTTCCTTGGAAGCATTAGTGAAAATGGCAGCCTGGTCCCCAGTGAAGTCGCCAATTTATGTTGGGGTCTTTTTGTTCCAGCAGCCTGACGAATGGGCTTGGGCTGTCGTAAGAAGGAAACGAACAAAAATTCCCCAAGTGCCTGAGTTCGAGAACCAAGCTCCCAAAAAAGTTTTTGAAGAGTCTAATCAAACTTTAGAAAAACTTTTTTAGGTCATCTTCACTAGTAGCCAAAAGACACAACAAATCGATAAATGACTTAGCCTGAGAAGCTTGTGGCATGGGAGCTAAGCTTTCACAAGTTCAGCAATTTGAGAGAGAGAAAAGCATGAGTTTCTTGCAGAAGACAGAAATTTAAACTGGGGCAGAGGAAAATTAGGAAGATTTTTATCTTAGGAAAAGAAGAAAACAACGGAGGAAGAGGATTGGGTGGCTTAAGTAAATTCTAGGTTGCTTGACAAAGCTTGGTCAGGCTCTGGATGGGTTGGTTTTCTGGATAGCAAAAGCCCTCTTTTATAGGCACAAAGAACCCTAATTTCATCTAACCCTTTCCTCCCTTTCTCGTTGCTTTTTTCCACTTAATCTTTTTTGGTGAAATTCTTCCATCCAAGGCGCATGGGTAAGGAGCCCTTTGTGATTCCAAGGTTTTGACGCAACTGGACCTCCCCATAAGGGTGAGGCACCACCTGCTTTCCTTCTTGGTTTTCCAAATAAAGCTTATAATGGAAAAGAAGATGGGTAGAGCTTTTTGTCCGATGGGTATTCTTCCTACCTTCCTAGATTTCCTTCGGTCTCTGCCATGGCTCCTTTGTTGACTATCCTTGGAGATCTAACAGGGGTGGAACTTGGTACCAGATTTTTATAAGTGGTTGGGCTGGGCTTGTATGCACGGTATTGGGATATTGGCCTATTATTTATAGCGTTTGATAGGTTTTCCTTAAGCTGCTAGAAATGGCTTTATTAATTTTGGGCATTCTATTGATGTGGGCTAGTCTAAGTGTTATGGCAGGCTACTAGGTGTCCTCCTAAGGCATTGGACCATTTTCCCCTTTTTCTCTCATGCTAACCCATGTATTTGGGTTCTACGAACGGGCTTGAGTTTTAATGCCCCCAAGTGGCTTAAAACTTTCGTTCCTCGAACCCTCAATGGGCCCTACGATCACTTGTTCCCATCTATACCACAACCTTCTCAGCAAGCCCTAGGTAATTTTGTGGCTTGGGCTCACTTAGGCTTGTAGCATGGTTGAATGCGACATAACAATTTCCCGTTTGGCGTGGCATGTTGCTTGGCATGTTTTTTAATTATGATGCTTGACGGGATAATTAGCACATATTTGTAGAACTAACGTGTTTTACAATCTTAATCTCGATTCCTAGCACGATGGATTATTTATTTGGCATGACATGCGAAGTGTGATTTGTGCATGGCGAATCTTTGCGTGCTCCAAATTGGGCCTTTTCTGAATAATGCGTCATTTTGGACTAGAAAATTATTTGGGCCCATCCGTGGATTTTTTGGGCCTCAACAAAAGGTTTGTATGAAAATATGATAATTGCAAAGATAATATAGAATTCAATCCAATAGAAAATATCATTAAGTATATACTAAATAGACATAAACAAATTTTAGAAAACAACACTACAACACAAAGTTTGACACAAAAAGTTAAAAATCTAGACATAAATATACATAAATAAAGTTTAGAAAATACCATGTTATAGACATAAATAAATTTTAGAGTTCAAGTTACATCCATTCCTTAAAAAAAAAAGCTAAAGTCAACACAAAAAGTTAGAAATATAGAATTTTTATGCTATATTAATATTTTTTTTCAAAAGAATATCAACAAAGTTGTGTTGATGCGTTGGTGTAAGTAGAACGTGAAAGGTGTTTAGGTTTGAACATTAGAAAAGGTAAATATTTGCATATTTTTTTAAAAGGTCGGATCGATTTGGTTTGAATTGGATTTCAAACTATGGATTTACTAACCAAACAGTCGTAGTTTAGATTAATTTAAAGTAAATTATCTTTTAAACAATAAATTAGATGGAATGTGAGCATAGGGATGAATTGACTAAAAAAAAGTAGTTCAAATCCTTAATTTCTAAAAAACAAATAATAGAGAGCAAATTAAAAGTATGTTACAATTAGTAGAAAAACTTGTATGAAATGGGAATAACATTGTTTGATTATTCCCGACCAATTATAAACTGCTACGTAAAAAAGTTATAACGTGTTACATATCATGATTGAATAAAAAATAGCAAAATAGTATTATCTCCATTTCATATTAGTATCTCTCCATTTCATATTAGAATCTCTACAACTAGGGTATTCAACGGTTTACCCGAAAAAGACAGCACGATTTGATTTGATCTTTGTCCCCCCAAAAAAAAAGTTTGATTTTATCCTAGTTTTTAAAAGAGAAAAAGTGGAAATCCACGTGTAAAGCAGCCGATTTATCTCTCCTCCAACCAAGTGGAAACTGTGAGAGAGCGGACGGTCCAACGGCGATCCAGAAATAGTTTCTCTTTTGTCGTTAAAACTTAAAGGGTAGAGAGAAAAAGGAAAACAGTAACTACTTGACTGACTCAACCAAGTTCAGCTCAATCCAAAAGAGTTGTTCTGTTCAGTGATTCTTGTCAGCAAAAGAAAATATCGGAAGAAAGAAGAAGAAACCAGGTATACCGATGCTTGGATTTTCATTGAAGGAGTTTGTTGTTTTAGATCTGTTAGAAAGATAGCATCTTCTGCATTTGATTTTCCCTTCTCTGATTTCCTTCCAGTACTTGCCAATCGAAGATTCTTTTTGGTAGCTGAGAAAATGTTGAAAATTAAAAAAAGAAAAGAATACTGGTTGAATCTCTCACTTCAACTTGGCTGAAATAATGGGCTAGCCCTTTTTCCTTTCTGCTCAGTTGCTGTGAAAACTGGAAAATTAAAGAACTTTAGTTGCATGTTGTATTGCGTGTAGCTTGAAGTGAATTATTCTTTTCGTTTTTGTTAAAATTATTTCTTGTGCCCTTTTTTCCCCTATGAAAGTTTAATAAGTTTAAGGCAGATTTGAAGTTTTTATGGTATGCCTAATTTATTTACTACTTGCATGTTGCAGGAAATTATTCTGTACCACAACTTTGTACTTTCCAGCATTCTGCGAAGATTTGCCCTTATTATAAGCATTCTGCAAAGATTTGCACTTGTTTTGTATGTACTTTGTTATGTACTTCGTTCTGTGACAAGATGGTGTTGCTGCTACTTTTGTAGCGGAGACAGTCTTTCTTATCAGATTTGGGATAGTAGAAAACTGTGCTTCTGTTGCCTGAAGTATTTCATGGAACAAAGTTTAGGTCAAGACTCTGTTCCTGGTTTTGGATCATTTGATAAGTCTAGGGTTTTGGATGTAAGGCCTTTGAGGCGTCTTGTTCCGGTTTTTCCATCAGCTTCTAGTAGTTCTTCATTTTCAACTCCCCAAGGTGCTGCTCCTTTTGTTTGTGCTTCGCCCGCTGGTCCTTTCCCACCTGGGGTTTCCCCATTTTTCCCATTCTACATTTCGGCAGAGTCTCAAAGACCACCTGAACAAAATCAACAAACACCAAGTGGTGTAGGCAACCAAAATACACCTTTTGTCTTCAACAACCCAATATCAAATGCAGTCCCAATAAATTCATTTAGGACACCTCCATCCTCAACCGCTAGGGTAACCCCAAACCAGTACACGGGGACTTCTAATGGAGATACTATGCCATCAAGAAGGATTACTAGAAGTCGTGCTCAGCCACAATCCCAAAGTGGGATCGCAGAGGAAGATGGTTTCAATACGAGTGTTACTGATGGAGAAAATACAAGGAAGGGGGGGAGGTCAAAGGGTAAGTTCCGGTCCCAGAAGAGGACAAGGGGTGGCCAGGACATTAATGTTGCATTGCCTGATGTTGATGTTGATGCAATAGTTGATAATATTCTCACATCATATACTGATACATTCCGGCATGCTGATGGCAACAAGGAATCAGTTGGATATGCACTCACGTTCTATGATTTGCTAAGAAGAAGGATTACGCAACTTGAAGAGATGAAGGAAAAAATACCAGGAGCGTCAAGAACGGGACGCCCCGATCTGAGGGCAGGAACACTCTTCATGAATAAGGGAATTAGGACAAATACCAAGAGGAGGATTGGTGCAGTGCCTGGTGTTGAAGTTGGGGATATTTTCTTTTTTCGAATGGAGTTGTGTTTGGTTGGATTACATGCTCCAACGATGGGTGGAATTGATTACATGGGAGTCAAGAACAGTACAGAAGACGAGCCTTTGGCCTTGAGCATTGTTTCTTCAGGAGGATATGAAGATTCTGTGGAGGATGCAAATGTGTTGATATACAGTGGCCAAGGTGGTAATGCTAGCAATGATAACCGGAACAACAGGGAAATGAAGGATCAGAAGCTTGAAAGGGGTAACCTCGCTTTGGAGAAAAGTTTGCATCGGTCTAATGATGTACGAGTAATTCGAGGTTTAAAGGATATATCTAATCCAACTGGGAAGGTATATGTCTATGATGGTCTATACAAAATCCATGAATCATGGGTGGACAAAGGGAAGAGTGGTTGCAGTGTATTTAAGTATAAATTGGTAAGGTTACCTGGCCAGCCTGAAGCGTTTACAATATGGAAATCAATTGAACAATGGAAAGTAGAAACTACTACTACAAGGGTTGGACTTATATTGCCCGATCTTACTTCAGGAGCAGAAAATTTACCGGTTTCTCTGGTAAATGATGTTGATGGCGAGAAAGGCCCTGCACACTTCACATATATTTCTAGTCTCCAGTATTCAAAACCGGTGAATCTTACAGAATCTTCTGCTGGATGTACTTGTATTGGAGGATGTCTCCCTGGTAATTCCAACTGCTCCTGCATTAAGAAAAACGGAGGTTTTCTCCCATATACTGCAAATGGGCTTCTTGTTAACCAAACACCCCTATTACATGAATGTGGTCTTTCCTGTCAGTGCCCCTCTAATTGTCGGAATCGAGTGTCTCAAGGTGGCCTGAAAATTCGTTTGGAGGTGTTTAAAACTAAGGATAAAGGTTGGGGTTTGCGGTCCTGGGATCCCATCCGTGCTGGTTCTTTCTTATGTGAATATGCAGGACAAGTTCTTAATATATCTGGGGTAGAAGAATTGGGGGGTGATTATGAAGATGATTATATTTTTGATGCTACTCGTACATGTGAGCCACTGGGAGTTCTGCCTGGTGATTCAACTGAGACTCCAAAGGTCCCATTTCCTCTAATTATAAGTGCAAATACTGCTGGAAATGTTGCTCGTTTTATGAATCACAGCTGCTCTCCGAATGTATTTTGGCAGCCAGTTTTACGTGAAAATAAAAATGAGTCTGACCTCCATATTGCGTTTTATGCGGTTGGACACATTCCTCCGATGACAGAGTTGACATATGATTATGGATTGGTCCCTCATGAGAAAGCATACCAGAGGAAGAAAGTGTGTCTATGTGGGTCTGTAAAGTGCAGAGACTCTCTTTATTAATGGGTTGGTAATGGGTTTATCAGATGAAGATGGACCTTATGCATCTAGAAAAAGGTTAGAGGCCTTCAATTCCCGATAGAGTTTGTTTCTTACTGTGATACTTATTCTGTTTATCTTGTTTTCTTGTTTCATCATATAAATGCTTCTGAAATTAATTGGATTTTAAAATAATGATCAATTCTAGAACAAAGGATGTATGATCATGAAAATAGTTTATGTTCAGTACTTAAAAGTGGTTCTTCGGTTTATGTGTTTCCATTATGGATTATCATGAAATCTGTTGATTTTTTGTGGATGTTTCTCCTGTTTTGAAGACAAAGTATGTAGAAGAAAGGGGGAACTGTCCATAAAATTGTATTCAGAAAGTGTCTAAAGAATGCGTTCTTAGTTGAATCAGTTTTTTAACATTCCAAAGTAAATGTTTGTCACAAACACCAGTATGGTATTTGGTGTTGACAGTTTACTTCGGTCATGATTATGTCATGATCATGAACATGTGATTTTATAAACAAGTAAAATTGAGTGTTCTAGAACTCCAATTAATGTCAGAAGCATTACCTAGAGCATGTCGGAATGTGAGCTTCTACAGTGTCCCAAGATGCATATTTTCAGCCGCAATCTGTAGGTCGATGCCGCATCTGTTATTGGTGTATCTAGGACCGTATTTCTGGGCGGGCAGCAATAATATATCATAAAATATACATTGTATAGTTGAAAGATATTTTTGAGTCCGATTGATTTTTAAATAAAGTGCCTTTAATGTTTTGATGATATGAGTTAAGTTTATCCACACTTAATACCCAAGCTATTGAAATGATTCTATCTGGTCCTTCAGTTTCCAACTATGGCAATGTTAATCCAGCATATTTGATATTTGTTTAAAACTCTAATTTGAAGTTTCGGACGTTCTTCCCATCTCAGTTTATTCTTTGAGATTCAAGATATGATTAGCAAGAAGAAATATCATTTGGAAAATATATTTACTAGTCATTGTCAGCTCAGAACACCGATAACCCATTTGGAAAATATATTCGGATCTTATAAATGCATTATAAGCAAACTAAAACCGATAACCATTCCATGAATCTCTATTGATTGTTACTAGATGAATTATGATTTTATAAATCTGCTGTAATATGTGGAAATCCACCATAGTACCATCCTGTCTGGTCCACGCTATAATCACCAGTGCGTCACACCTTAAAATCCCACATTCCAACTCCACCTCTGTTGTAGATTTACATCCATGCCACTTCAGGTCAGGAATTCTTGTCTTTGTTGTTAAATCCTGTAATTTAATAGTTCAATTTCATACTCAATCAAAATCTTGCTATGGGCATTTGATATCTTGTTATTTTTCGATGTCCAAGTAGTTTACTGTAGCATTATCACTTATAAACATCATTCCTTAAAAAATTTATAATAAAGCATTTTTCTATTTAAATTATGCTCTTACCCATTCCCTATTGCCCTGGCCCTTGTGCAGTTGGTATGCTTTTTTCACAGCAAGAAAGGGCTCATGCAGACTGTTCCTGTGTTTTGTTCATTACCTTGGAAGGCATCTGGTTTCACAGGTATTCAGGAACACCATATTTTCCCATATATGACTTTAGTTAATGGGCATGTGTGCAGGATCCTTTCTTAGCACTGTCAATGTACTAATTATTGTATCAAGTTGTAATATGAATTTTACTAGGAGACCTCCGGCGGCGGTGGGTTTAGTTTAATTTCTTCTATGCGCTTTCCTTGTATAATTAGGTTTCTATTTTTGGCAAATACACGCTTCAGCTTTGAAGATTTGCAAGGCCTTTTGCTGGGTGGGTATTTTGGCACAAACTATGTTAGGTCTGTCAGATAAAATGTTTTTGACGCGACTTCTGCTCAACTTTGAGTCAATAATCAAATAGGTTTAAACTAGCCTTTTCAGGTGAATCCACATTCTCCTCCGTGAGGAGACCAAGATTGACTATTCTCTTGCTCAAAAATATGAATGACTGAATGTCATATTTATTGGCCTCTTTATAATCAACTACTGAGTTTTACAATCTAAATACAACTGCTTCAACAGATTGGAAATAAGAAATTTCAAAGGCACGCCTTTTTGCCTAAAACCTGGTAATCAACCTGGGTTGGTTTGCTTCAAATTCCGAATCTCTACATTTATACTCCACGCATTTCACCTCATCTCGGTCAGTTGCATTATCCAGTCATTATCTCTCTCTCTCTTTCTCCCCCACCCCTTCACCTCCCTCTCCTTCAACTCAACATCGGCCGCCACACTTCCTTTAACACTCAAGTTCTACCATTTAATTTGACCGGTTGCCGTGTATAATTGCCTAGTAGCGAGCAAGAACTTGGAGTCATGACAAGGAGTTGCTGCGCATAATTGCCTAGTAGTGAGCCAAGAACTCGGAGTCATACATGGAGAGCTTGGAGGGCCAAGCCGAAGTCCCAAGTTAGAGCTCAAATTGTGGACTCGAGCCTGAAGGTATGATGAAGGAGAGGAGATAAGCTTCAACATTGAAACTTGTATGAAAATTAGGAAATTCAATTTACGGTGTTGAGCAGTACAGTTTTTGGGAAACGAGGATTGAGAGAGACTAGAGAGAATCAGGGAGGGAAGCAAGCAAGGAGGGAAGAGAGATTTTTTAAATTATACAAAGTGATATTGCAGGAGGGGGAATCGAATTTAGGACGTAAGATGCATGGGTAAATACTCTTAACTACTTGAGCTATAAGTCCCTTGTGAGCGGAGAGAGACTAAACTCCTTTCCCACCCATCTCCTCCCCTATCCTTCCCTCCTCTCTCCCCTACCACAAAGCTAGACGTATCAAATGGGTTGTGCTAGACCAATCTGTTTAAAATTGTGTCACTTCAGTGATTCGGGTCATGTCGTGCTGACCCATTTAATTAATTGGAACGTGATCGTGCGTGTACACCTATAAAAAAAAATTATTTAGCCCAACCTGGTTCAAAACTCAAACTCACATTAAGACGGCTCGTGCTCGTGCCATGTTCGGATCCGGCCCGAGACTGAGCCAAACCACTAGCCCATTTAGCTTTCATTTTTGGTTAAATCGAATTTTCTGTCATAGATATCATGTCAAACAAGTTCACTTATCCAACAACTTATTTCATTGATATCAAGGCAAATTAACATATATGCAAATGGGGACTTACATTTCAATTGTTAAATTAGAAAAAGAAACAGTAAAGGATTGCAATTACTCCTACGTAAAATGAAAAAGTAATCCAGCTCTTATGGCCCAAAACTAGCACCCACATACTACAAAGAAAACCGTTGTTTATATTATTTGTTTCTTCTAATTGGCTAACAGATTATAGAATATAGGCTTAATTATGTACATGCCCCCTGTGCTTTCCAACTTATCTCAGATTACCACCTGTGGTGGAAAACGTCTCAAAGTACCCCCCAACGTGCAAAAAACTGTCTCACGTTACCCTTTCCGTCAGTTTTTTTGAAGTTCCGTTACGAATGTTACTGTTCATCTCCCCCAAAATTCCAGAACAGTAGCCCCTCCCCTTTGTTACTGTTCATCGCTTATATACCCTCCAAAACTCAGAAATTTCTCCTAACCAACACAACTAGCAGCAAGAACAACTCGAGAGGTTGAAAAATCATACCTGGATCGAAGAAAATGGTGCTCGGAATCGCCCGAACGAGCAATGGAGATTTTGGGTAAAAACCGGCCAATTTCTTGCTTTTTTCGGTGATCCAGACGACGGTTGGCAGCGGCTGAGATGTGAGGGTGGTAGAGGACAACGTGCTGGTTCTTTTGATATCCATGTCGTCGCTTGGGGTGGCCGGAGGAGGCGATGGCAGCCCAAAAACTGGTGCGATGAACAGTAACAAATGGGAGGAGCTGCTGTTCTGGAATTTTGGGGGAGATGAACAGTAACGTTCGTAACGGAACTTCAAAAAAACTGACGGAAAGGGTAACGTGAGACAGTTTTTTGCACGTTGGGGGGTACTTTGAGACGTTTTCCACCACAGGTGGTAATCTGAGATAAGTTAGAAAGCACAGGGGGCATGTACATAATTAAGCCTAGAATATATAATCTTAATTTCTACTTTATTTTGAAATAAGTATGAGAGTTGATGTTGAATAGCCAAGGTATACTGTTGTTGTCACTATGCCATTGTCACTATATTATTAGAAAATCAAGATTGAAGAAAGGACACACAATCAATATTTCAAAATAGATTTCAACTTGATCAATATGGTATCAAGTTTCTCAACAACCTTCTTGCTTTCACTCTTTGATTCCCAATTGACAACTCCTAAGAAATCTCTTATTTATTTACTATGCCTTCGCTCTTTGATAATATGATTTTCAGTTCACGATCAATACAACTGTGATTGCTTTGTTTGATTTAAATCTTGTTTACACCATAATCAACCAAGCATATCTAGCCTCAAGACAACCAGCACCAAGGCAGACACGCTTTCTCCCCTGCCGAAGGAAGATACTCTTCCGAGGTGCTAGACACATGCTGAAGCTCCCGACTGTCGAAACTCTCAACTGCTGAACCTAATCTCCAAGGACACGTGTCATCACCACAACAACTTGCACAAAGTCCCACATCGAAATTTTGTGTAAACCTCCCACTTTCACTTCCCTATAAATAGAGAACAGTACCCAAGTAAAAAGGGTAACTATTTCTCACCTTTATTGTTACTCTGTCAAATTTACCACTCATAACTAACTTAAGCATCAGAAAGCCTTCGGCTAGCACCACAACAGTGTCCGAAGCTTGACGACTGCTTCTCCTACTTTGTCTTCTACATGCTCTTTCCTTACCGAAGGTCCTCACCTTCTCTCCTGCTGAAGACTATCCACTTCTCTCTAAGTTAACCTCCCAAAAAGAGCATCAACAGTTTGGCGCCGTCTGTGGCAACACAACTTCTGAATCCCATTTTTTCTCTACCAGCCTAGCTGGCTCCTTCTCCCATCAAGCCTCATCGCCTATTCTTTACACCACACTCTGCTATACCGACTGAGGATAGCCACGATACTCAGCACCATACTCCCGATGGGGATACCTCCTGAAAGAAACCTTCGGTAGATGTTAGTCTCCATGCAGAAGTGGAGCGCCTCCGCACCAGTGTGCTAAGGTGTCAGAGAAATATGAATATCTTCATACCAAGAACATTGAACTGGAGCATGACTACCGCACCCTGAAGCGTAACTAGGAGAGGACTCACCCCCAGGGCTCCTAACATGACTTCACCCAGGATGTTGAGCATACCCAGCCAAACCAGCCAGTGCACTCCCTCCAACGTACCCTAGTCCAGTCTAGGCTCGGTAAGGGTAAAGGCCCTCTTTATCCGGAGCCAACCAAGTCGCGGCTCCTTCACATCTCCTCACCGAAGGACCGGCCCCATGAACTGGTCAAGATCTATAAAGATTGTAGGGACCGTCTCTTGGACCGTCAGCCAGACCCTATCCATATCCCCGTTAATCTTAGAGACTCAAGGGTGGCACACTTAGGCCCCCCCCACCGAAGCCTACCCACCTACCCACTGGAGAAGGCGCAGGGGACTCGGATAACTGGGAACTTTATCATCTAGATGACTGGGAATCTTATCATGCCGAAGCGTTCAAGGAGTGGGAACCTTACTCAACCCTTGCTCACCCACAGCCCAGGCCTTCAGCACACGACATTCTCCCTCATGCCGACCCGCCCATGAGGCTTCTCTTTGGAGAGTGAGCAGCACCACAACCACCAGCCCTTATAGGCAAAGCCACGAACTGGACCCTTTACCGAACGCATCCTTAATTACCACCAGGAGAAGGACATTCAGCCGCTTTGTATCGCCTTCTACACTAGCACGAAGGATCCTCTCACCCATATTCACTCATTCCAATCTATCCTCAGTTGCAAGGGCCTCAGTGACGAAGGCATGTGCCTCCTCTTCCCTTCCACCCTCAGCAGCGCGACCCTGAATTAGTTCTACATGCTGAACCCTCGCACCATCAACTTATTTGACAGTCTAAAGTAGACCTTCCTGGACCATTTCATGATCCAGACTGATCGCATGTACTCCACAGACGACTTGTACATGCTTCGGTAGGGTGATGATGAACACATTCGGGAGTATGCAGCCCGCTTCAACCACGAGTATTCTCGTTGCCCAAAGACTGACGGTGCTTTCAAGAGTGGCCTCCGAGAGTCCAACTTCTGGTACTTAGTCCACAACAACCCTTAGAACACATATGCGGAGCTAATGAACTAGGCATCAGTTCAGGCCAAGGCTGAGTACTTTAATTTCAAGCGTGGCCCAGCCACCCTGGCACGTAACACTTTTGGTGATCCTCTACCTGCTTCAGTACCCACCCCAACCCCACCTCAACATTTTGCCTCCACACCAAGTACCCAGCACCCTAAAAGGAAGGATAACTACCAGCATACCTTCAGCAGTAGCAAGCGTGGTAGACATGGCAACCACCACCAGCCCAGTAGAAGCAGCCCTCCTAGGATAAGTGATCTGGCCCCACTCCCCTTCACACCCAAGCCTAGGTTTGAGGTCTTCACCACCCTCAACACCACCTATGAGAATGTCCTAGTGCACGAGGCACCCATGATACCTAAGTCTCCCTCCAGGAGACCGACCAACAAGCCTATGCCAAACACAGGTGTCTTCTGCCATTTTCATCAATTCAGCGGCCATGATACCGAATCTTGTGTTGTCTTGTGAAACATCATTGAAGGACTTATTCGTGAGGGGAAGCTGGATAAATATGTGCACAACCTGCCACCCCCACCTAACCCTCACTAAAGGTAGATCAACATGATCTCCACCATCAATGGTGGTCCCATATTGGCCGGAACCTCCAACAACTCCATCAAACATTATGTTCGTTCTTCCTATGCGCACCAGGTCTTCAGCACTAAGCAGGGACGCCTGCCTAAGATGCAAAAATCAGGCTGGGCCGCCATCACCTTCTGTGAGGAGGAAGAGCGTGGTGTCATTCTCTCACATGACGACTCACTCATTATCCATACGGACATTTCTAACTTCGATGTTAGGCATATCCTGGTGGACACTGGCAGCTCAGTCAGTGTGATGTTTGCTAATGCTTTAACGAGCTCTAAGTTCCTGTTTACTTGCTCGACCGAAGCATCACTCCTCTCATGAGCTTCTCTGGCGATGTTGTTCAGCTTAAAATGTCATTCTTGGACGCTCTGCCTTGGCGCAAATGAAGGTTTTCATTTCCACGCATATGCTACTGCTGAAGTTCCCCACCCCCCATGAAACGGGCACAGTGCGTGGCGACCAACTTGGTGCTTGAAGTTGCTATGCTTCAGTACTCAAGTCCACCAATCACCAGCATAGGGGTGAGGCCCTCGCAGTAACCAATGCTCCAGCCCCTCCTCGAGCTGGCACCGAACGACCTGAGGACCCTAGGGAGGAATAAGTTACACAGCAGGGCAAACTCGTGAAAGACCTTGAGCTTGTCTGCCTCCATGATGACATTTGGGATCTATAGGTCCGGATCGGCACCTCCCTCTCCCAGGAGCTTCGCTCTGACCTCATGGCTTTCCTTCGCCTTATCTCAGAAGTCTTCACCTGGTTTTAAAAAGATATGCCTGACATATCATCTGATATTATTTCTCATCGGCTAAGCATTAATCTTGTCGTCCGATTCGTTCGACATAAGCATCGTACCTACGACCTAGAGAGGTACGAGGCCATGAAAGCGGAGGTGGACAAGTTGAGTAGCATTGGATTTATCAAGGAGGTGGACTATCCCACCTGGCTGGCTAATGTGGTGATGGTCCGCAAACCACTGAAAGGCTGGTGCATATGTGTAGACTACACCAACCTTAATCGGGCTTGCCCGAAGGACAGCTTCCCTCTACCTCGAATCGACCAGCTTGTTGACACCACAGCTGGCCATGCCCTCCTTAGCTTAATGGATACTTACTCTAGGTACAACAAGATCTTCATGCATCCTGATGATCAAGCCCATACATCCTTCATTACCGATCGTGACCTCTACTGTTATAAGGTGATGCCATTTGGCCTCAAGAACGCCGAGGCTACTTATCAGCGTCTTGTGAACATCCTCTTTGCCCCACTGATTGGCAACACCATGGAGGTTTATGTCGATGATATGCTAGTCAAAAGTCGCGCTGCTGACTAGCACATCCCTAACTTATCTGCCATGTTCACAATCCTGAAGCAGTATAAAATGAGACTCAACCCCACGAAGTGTGCCTTCGGTGTGGCTTCAGGGAAATTCCTTGGCTTCATGATCAGCCAACTAGGTATTGAAGCTAACCCAGAAAAGATTAAGGCCATCTTAGACATGAAGGTACCAAAGACGGTCAAGGACATTTAAAGCCTTATCGAACGCGTCGCGGCCCTGACCAAGTTTATCTCCAAGGCTATTGATCGCTACGCCCCCTTCTTCAAGGCACTTAAGGGCAACAAACGAAACATCACCTAGACTGCCGATGTGATAAGGCTTTCAGCGAGCTTAAGGAGTATATGAGCCGAGCCCCTTTATTGTCAACCCCCAAGCCTGGAGACGTCCTCACCATCTACCTCTCCGTCTCGACCACAATAGTTAGCTCAGTGCTCATCCGACCACATGAAGGTGCTGAACATCCAGTGCACTATGTTAGTAAGGCCCTACAAGATGCAGAGGTTCGGTACTCAGATATTGAGAAGCTGGCCTTTGCTCTGGTGGTGTCAGCCAGACGCCTCAGACCATACTTCCAAGCATATACCATTCATGTCCTAATCAACCAACCACTAAGGGAGGTATTACAGAAACCAGAGACTTTTGGTAGGCTGATTAAGTGGGCCATTGAGCTTGCTGAGTTTGATATCCACTATAAACCTCGCCCAGCTACAAAGGGACAGGTTGTTGCATACTTCATCTCCGAACTTACGGAACCCCAAGCTTCAGCCGCTCCCCAAATCATAACCGACTCCACTCTTCCCTCGAACCTAGTCCACGTCGCCAGCAATGGCACCCTCGACCTAACCCAGCCCTTGTGGACCTTATATGTGGATAGCTCTTCCAATGCCTAGGGATGTGGGGCCGGCCTTGTTCTCATCTCCCCAGATAAAGTCGTCATTGAATACGCCCCCCGCTTCAAATTCCACGCCTCCAACAATGTCGCTAAATACGAAGCACTCTTAGCTGGCCTTTGGCTAGCCAAAGAGATGGGCGCTAAACAAATCCAGATATGCAGTGACTCCCAACTCGTCGTTCATCAAGTCAACTAGGACTTCACTACTAAGGACGCCTCTATGATGACATATATTCAGCATACCCGCCACCTGTTGACAACCTTCGACTCTTATCTCATAAGCCAGGTGCCACGCTCTGAGAATAGCCATGCTGATGCTTTGGCCAGGTTAGCCTCGGTCGTGGAATAGGGCATAGGTAGCAACATTCCCATGGAGTTCCTGGATCAACCCAACACACAGGCACCACTCATCTGTACCATTGATCACAGCCCTACATGGATGGATCCCATCCTTCAATTCTTGCAAAACCAGATGCTACCTGCCGACCCTGCTGAAGCACGGTGTGTTCGCTATCACTCTGCTTGGTACATGATCATCAATGACGCTCTACACAAGCATGGCTTCAGCCTCCCCTACCTTCGGTGCTTGACTCAAGAGGAAGGTAATTACGTCATTCGGGAGATCCATGAGGGCATCTGTGGCAATCACTTAAGTGCTCGCTCACTAGCACATAAAGCTACTTCTGACCCTCACTTCATACCGATGCTTAGGCCTTCACCCAGAAGTGCGGTAAGTGTCAGCGATTTGCCAACATCCCACAACTTCCAGCTGAACCATTGACAGCCATGGTCAGTCCTTGGCCATTTGCCCAATGGGGCCTTGACCTTATTATACATATGCCCAAGGGCAAGGGCTAGGTCAAGTATGCAGTTGTAATTGTGGACTACTTCACTAAGTAGGCTGAAGCTGAAGCCTTAGCCACCATCACTGTAGCTCGCATCGAAACGTTTGTATGACAAAATGTTGTATATCTTTTCGGCATCCTCCAAACCATTGTCACAGACAACGGCCGACAATTTGACAATGTAAAGTTCAAGCAATTTTGTTCCAACCTCAAGATACGTCTTTGCTTCGCCTCCCCAGCCCATCATCAATCCAATGGCTAGGTCGAAGCTGTGAACAAAATCATCAAGAAGACCCTGAAAACCAAGCTTAACAAAGTTAAGGGTTGATGGCCAGAGCTACTCCTAGAGGTTCTCTGATCCTACCGCACCACCTTTCGTACATTCACAGGAGAAACACTGTTATCTCTTTCCTTTGGTACCGAAGTCGTAGCACCAGTGGAGATTGGCCAGCTCACATACTGAACCTCCACTTATGATGTCGAAGCTAATGACGAATAGTTAGCCCTGAACCTTGACTTCATTGACGAGCTTCATGACCAATTCAACATGCACAACGTCACGTACAAATAGCGTATCGCCAAGTACTATGACTCTCGAGTCAAACCCCGTGCTTTCAAGACTGGGGACTGGGTCACGCGCAAGGTTTCCTTGGCCACCAAAAACCCTACTAAAGGTACCTTGAGTCTTATATGGGAAGGTCCTTATGAGATTACCAAAGTTTGCCGCCCCAGCACCTATTAGCTTTGTGATCCCAAGGGCAAGACTTTGCCTTATTCTTGGAACGCTGATCACTTCAAGTACTACTATAAGTAAACACACCTAGACCCTAGGACATTATGTTTTCTTAGACTTTGGTCTTGAGCCTTGACTCGACCATGTTTTGTACCTTTTGCCTTTCGGCACCTATTTAATGAAACGCCCGACCCTGGTTAATTCTTATCAATCACATGATTATCATTTTGCTAGCACAACTAATATCAAATGACAACAAGTCTAATATCATAGTAAATAAAAATAACCTTGCCCCGGGCAATGAAAAATGTTTATACAAAGCAAAAATGTTCCAACAAAATAACTAGAATACATAAGGAAGGTAGTGCCTTCAAGCCTTGGTAGGTAGGGATTTCATGGTAGCCGACTCTGGCTCTGGAGTGGCCTTGGTAGTAAGACTAGGTGAAGGAGGCTAGCCACTCGTATCGAAATTGATCTCAACTGAAGGGTTGAACATCGCCAGTCTTTCCTCCCAACGAAGCTGCTCATTCACTAACCGGTCCATAATATAACTACACAGCTCCTCTGAACTTCGAAACGACTCGACCGATTTGGCTTGGGCAGTAGCTATCTCTTCGGCCTTCTTCTGCTTCGCTTCAGCCTGGACAGCAGCTATCTCCTTGGCCCTTGACCGCTTTAGCTCCTCCACCTCATTAGCCAGCGCTGCCTTCTGCAACAGCAGGGTGTTCCTCTCTCGGATGGCCTCCTGCGCCTTCGCCATCTTGTCATTGGCCATCTCATTGCGCCTCTTTAACCTCTGAATCTCCTTATCTGCCTTTGCTATATTGACATACAAAAGGCTTGCAAAACAAAGCATCATTAGTCAGAGCAAACGAGAATGATAAGAACAAATTCACAAACAAAGATAACTTACATAGGCAGAAGTAAGGATCGTCTTCTGGGCTCGATCTGCAAAGGAAGAGGCATGCGTCCTCGCTAGAGCCTCGAGGTCACTCTTCACGCCTTCCAGGAAGACGTTCACAAAAGGTACCTCATAGCGATGCATGGCTAGGTTCACCTCATTCTTCTGCCGACGCAACTTGACGAAATCCACCTTCTCCACCCCCTCAGCAAAAACATCCTCTATACTTAAGGAGAGCTTCGGCGGCTCCTGTAGATCAAAAGGAGGAAGCCTCGACTCTGGCCCCATCACAATCTGGTGAGCTTCCTCCAATGCCTTCTTCTTCCCCATCACATTGGCAACCAGCCCCTCATCGTCATCTCTAGGGCGCTTACCAGTCGCCTGCCTGGCACCCCCCTTTCTCTGCCTTCTTGGCTCGAGACTCCCTCAGTTGCTTCTGCATTTTGGCCTCATCAATATCCACAACCACTTTCGTTCTTCCCTTTACAACACCTGCCACTACACATCAACAGCTAAGTTAGTTACAATTACAAAAGGGGAGAAGACAAACATCAAATAGTAATTCTAAATACTTACTCCCTTGCAAGAGTTCGGATTCTAGCAAATTCTTCGGAGTGACTAAGTGTCGGTACTCTTGCTCAGTCTCCGATAGCAGCGACCTCACCCTGTCAACCTCGTCCTCATTCTCCTTGGAAATGGGCCTTCACTTCACTGATCCTGCATCAAAGGTTAGATACTACTCAGCCATTTATACTTGCAAAAGCAATCAAAGAAGGACCAAGAACGAAAACAACTAAAACACAACGTAACAACAACCAAGTCTTGAAGGAAGGGACTAAGGACCTATAGATTGGAAGTGGGTAGGAATATTTTTGGTGACGGTCTTCCCGGGCAGACACTCCCAATCACCGTAGGCCAAACACCACATGTTCCTCCAGGATTTCTGAGTAAAAGGCATCCGACTAATGAAATAACCCCTCTTTTTTGCCTTTCGGCAATTGTCCTGTACCTAGCCAAAACTTCCCTGTTGCTTAGAGATTGAGTAAAGATACATAAACTACTCAAGCGTCGGCTCCCCCAATCTAGCCAACCACTAGGAAATGTACACCTCATGTAGAAGAATCCAGAAGTTAGGATTATATTGCCCCGATGCACACCCCAGCTTGGCCAACATCATCTGTACCTAAGGATGAAATGGTAGTCTGAAGCCATGTTGGTACATATTTGTGAATATCAGCACACATCCCTCCAAAGGATATCTAACCACATCAGCAGTAGTGGGCAACCTTAAGCCCACCAAGGGTGGGACACTAAAATCTGTCCGAAGCTTTGCCAACTTGACCTTAGTAAGTATATTCCGCCTCTCCAAAGGGACACCAACCCGTATATCTACTCCATCTGAAGCTGAAGCCACGACTATACCCACAGACCCTGACGGTGATGCTTGATTGCTCGAGCCCACCTCTGGTGTACGAGGCAAGGCCAGAACTCAATCAGTTATAGCCTCTAACACTTTGTAATTCCTCTGCATCTCCCTATATGCAGCTGACCCAGAATCCACTGATGGCTCACCCCTCTCACCTTCATATACTACCATCCTACTTTCTATAACACCTTCTACCACAACCTTTGTCTCGGAACTCTCACCTTCGGAACACACATATTGACTTGGCTCCTCACTTTTAGTATCTTCCCCACCAAAGGCAGGGGGGTCATGACTTTCTCTACTGGAACTTTCAGACGTCTACAATATGCAGAAACAAGGAAAAAGAACTAATGCACATGCAAGAAGGATAAAAAACATAAGAACACAAAAAGGAAAAGGAACTATTACACCATAATCAACCAAGCATATCTAGCCTCAAGACGACTAGCACCAAGGCAGACACGCCTTCTCCCCTGCCGAAGAAAAACACTCTTCCGAGGTGCTCAACACCTGCCGAAGCTCCCGATTGCCGAAGCTCTTGACTGTTGAACCTAATCTCCAAGGACGCATGTCATCACCACAGCAACTTGCACAAAGTCCCACATCGAAACTTTGTGCAAACCTCCAACTTTCACTTCCCTATAAATAGGGAATAGTACCCAAGTAAAAAGGGTAACTATTTTCTCACATTTACTGTTACTCTGCCAAATTTACCACTCATAGCTGACTTAAGCATCGGAGAGCTTTCGGCCGGCACCACACTGATGTCCGAAGCTTGACGACTGCTTCTTCTACTTTGTCTTCTGCAGGCTCTTCCCTTACCGAAGGTCCTCACCTTCTCCCCTGCTGAAGACTATCCACTTCTCTCTAAGTTGACCTCCCAAAAAGAGCATCAACAAATCTCACTTTAGTCTATCTAGACTGAAGTTCACTCAATTACATTTTCTTTCCTTTTGTTGTATTTTAGTCCAATCGAATCATTTTGCTTCTTTTAGTTTGTAATATCCATTTGGACACAGTTTTATACGCGATAGAAGTTACTATTTCGATATGATCTCTTGCCACAACCTTGTTTGTTTGAGTTATAAATCGCACAAGTGGAATAAAGTCCTTATCAAACCAGGCATATAAAAGAACTAGTTTCGGCCAGTTCCCCACTTGGAGCAAAAGGACTTGATAAGAAGTTAAGATTTATTAAGGCACAAGATAACCAGATTAACATCACCTTTGATTCACACTCTTACTATTGGGTTTTCAAGTACCAATAGTGACACACCTATAATAACATTCCACAAAGCATATTAAAGCCCAGTTTTGGGCCCCAATTAACTAAAAACTACTACAAGTATATTAAAGCCCATTTTTTGGTATGATTCACTCTCTTTCTTTTAAGCTTCCAAGTACATAGTAGCAAAGCTTATAATAACATTCCACAAAGCATATTAAAGCTCATTTTTTTGGGCTTCATTGACTAAAAACTACTACCAGTGCTAAAATACACAACACTTTTTAGGGAGAACAAAAACTTAAGACCTTTTTCAAGATTCAAAAGAGAAATATAATTAGACTAAAAGACCCTATTTGGTTCACGGAACAAAGTTGATGAGAAATCACTTCCCATGTACTTCTTAAGGGATGAGAAATGGAGATTCATTTCCCATGTTTGGTTGATGTATAATTTTACTACCTGAAAATTAGATAGTTAAATTCAAGAAATAAACTTGCAAGCGCACAAGGTTAATGCAATATAGCCAAGGCAAGTACAAGGTCGTTCCCACAGAGACTGAATAAATTCTCAAGTTGTTGTGAATTATAAACTAATTTAAATCCTAAATTACTCTAGACACCCTAATTAATAAACTTAAAACTAATGACTCAACTAAAACTTAATAGAGGAGTTTTGAAAGTTGGTTTTGAAAGATTTTCTTTAAAAGAACGTTGAAAACAAGAAAATTAAAAGACAAGATAAAGAAGAAAAACGTGAACTAAATAAGTTTGTGAAAGATTTTAAGGAAGCTTACCAAGACAACAATTTCACCACAATTCCTCTTATCCAAACCTTAGCATGCATACTATCAAAATTCCCAAGTTATGTTGATGATTAGTTCTCCAAAATTATGATTAACTCTTTTCACAGCAATTAACCACTTCTTCTTACACGCTATTTATCCTTGGCATGAGGCATAAATATAAACATATAAAAAGACCTTAGGTTCAATGAGAACGTCACACAATCACACAAACCCCTAAGAGTATGGTGTTTACCTTAGGCGCATTCATGAATTTAATCACAAGAAGCAAAACTCATATTAGGAATGGAGTATACCCTAACATGCATCAAATTACTTAACCAAAAGCCTAGATGGTGGCTAAGCATCAAGATCATTAGTTAAGAAAATAAGCACAATGATTAAATTTCAACAACATGGAAATTCTAATAGCATGACATAACTAAGCTTTGAATAATTAGAAAAGGGTTACATTGTGTCTTAGTAAAAGAAAATTAGTTACTCATAACCATGGTAACAAAGCAAAAATAAAACATGGAGAAAGAGATAAGAAAAACTCTTAGAGTTTAGAGGCACGGTTGCTCTTCCTTGCTCCACGGTTGAAGTCTGAAATTTCTCAGTCTCCCTTGAGACCACACGAACTCCCTCTTAAAAGAACCTAAAACCTAGTTAGAATGGGCCTAAACAAGTGGCCTTACATGAAGACTTGACTTCCAAGTCAGTTCCTAACTGGAAAAGGTAATTAAAACTAAGTTTCCTAAAACCTCCAGGAAACTGCACGTGATCCTCATTGCGAATGCGATTTGGACACCTTTCCAACCTCCAAAAATTTCGTACGACCACTCTTTGGAAAGCTCTGGATGTCTTCTTTTCAGCCATATATCGTGTGCCTCAATCAGATGTCTTATGAATGAGTTATGGCCAAAATACCCCTGCTGATTCAGTATTCTCCGGGAATTGGTTTATGCTGAGTTGTCTAATTAAAAATGGGCACGTTAGCAGTCTTCAAAAATTATGAAAATATTCATGGATAAACTTCAAGATGCTGTCTTCCATCTCTAATTAGAATCATGTCAAACTATATTACGATGAATATTTGGCGAATTTATACATTTTGTGGCACATAAGCTGAAAAACCAGGAAATAACTATACTCAGCATCTTTAGTCCAAATTAATTCACAAAACTAAGTAAAAATGATATAAAATCATGTGAAATTATGAACATATCATTGGTAACCCTGAGAAAGTAACTAAGAAATACCACTTTATTTCCTCTCATATGTTTGGTTTGTATAGGAATGTAAAACAAAGTTTGTTTAATTTTTCAATTATACCCATATGAAATCAAATTAAAAAAAGAAAAAAGAAAGCATTTAATGCTATATTGTAATTCTAAATTGGTAATGTGGACAATATGGTCATGAAAAATGTGTATTTAATGTTGACTCATTTTCCCAAACTTTGCCATGTGGAGGAAAACAAAACTCTAAGGGGGGAAGGGGGGAACTTTGCCATGTGGAGGAAAACAAAACTCTAAGGGGGGAAGGGGGGGTGGGGGAAGGCTTCACTCCTGCCACTACTTTCCCATGTGCAAAGCAATTTCCTATGTCTGGACTTACCAAATATGGGAAAACAATTGATTTTCCATCCCCAAGCCTCATTTTCCAAGAACCAAACGGGGCCAAAGGGTAGTGAGGAATTAGATGGTCCGCTTGAATGCTTAACACTACCTTAGACAAAGGGATGTTGTGTGCTCTTAAGAGCACTTCCAACGGGAGCCCCAACCAGGACAAGAGGCTCCAGGCCCCCATTTGTGTTTCCAGCTCCCCATTCTTGCTAGGGCAAGAGATGGGCTCCACCAACCTGGGCAAACTCAAAGGCAAGACTTGCCTGGGCAAACTAACAAGCTAATTTAAATAACAAAAAAATTGAAAAAAAGAAGGAAAAAAGAACCAAAAGTTTCAGAAATTTTGTTTTAATAAATATCTAGCCATATTTTTCACTTCTTACACCAAAACTCTATACATATTTCTCTCTTCATATCTCATGTGCATAGTGGTTGCCCTTAGGTTGCCATGGCAATTGGTGGAAAACTAACAAAAAAATTGCTTGAGCAGACCCTATTTATATGAATAGTAACAACCTTTACCTCTCCTACCCTTTGCCATGACAAATGAGTTGCTATAATAGAACTAGTCTAGTCATACGTCATACGCGAGATATTTGTCAGTTTGCTTAACAAACTACCATGTGAGTGGATGCTATCTACCTACTGTTAAGCTTGGGGATAAAGTTTAACTCATCCCGATCGGATGAAGGAGGTTATTATCTTTTGTAAAAACAAAAAGGATTTAAAACAGAGACAAATATGTGTGTGTTAGTTATGTGTTTGTCTTATTTTGGTTCAGGAACCAGACCCAGGTTCAGCACGGATATGAAAATTATGTCATGTTCCATTTACGGCAGGAGCCCAGGTGGGACCCACAAAGATTTCTTAAACAAAACGATATGTTTGGTCTTGCTTGTAATCCACAGTCTCCTTTGCTGACGTGAAAGCAAGGCAACAGCCCCGGATAAGAGAAGAGACGACTGTCTCTTCTCCTTGTTTGCTTATATAGATAAGCGCAGAAGAAAGACCGAGTCAACTCACCCACAGTCTCTTGGAAATATCGACTCAAAAACAAATTTCCTTAGTTGGGTTGGAGTTGGAGTTAAAAAAGAAAACAAGAATATTTATTTCAGGTATTATTTTTTGTTTAGTTTCTGAACTGAATTTTATACTAAATGGATGAGAACTTAATAATGCACTTTTATCTGAGCATCGCTGAAATCACCATCTTTCTGGGTATTCTCTTCTTCTTTGTGGAATTGGGTTTTTTCTCTTTATCTTTTTTTATTTATTTATCAATTTTAAACAATAGAGACTTGCTTCACTAGAATCTCCTTGAGTTATTTAATTGGTCTTAATTATTTGTGGGTCTTTCATAATGTTACCACACATCTATCAGTTTGATTGAACCAAAAAGTCATTGTGAGAAAGTGTTTATGGGATTTCTATATTTTGGCGATCACTCATTAACTGAGAGACCATTTTGCATTGTTTGTGTTACCTTGTTCTTTTTCTGTTTAATTGATCAGAATGTAACTGAGTATCTCCTTTGTCTATGATTTTTTGGCTGTGGAAGTATTGGGTGTGGTAACTGAGCAATGGGCTCTTGCAAGTCCCCTCATGCTGTTCTTCTGCTATATGTCTTGGTTTGCTTTGTGTATCAATCTTTCGCTATTGGAGTTGTTACGAACCAGACAGCAAAGCTGCTGGTGGATGCTTCTGAAGCATCGGGACGGCCAATATCTGAAACACTGTTTGGAATTTTCTTTGAGGTTAGTGTGTTGGCTTGGAATGGTGAATTTTTGTTCAGTTCCAACTGCTTTTTGTTACTTCTATAATCTTTAGCTTGTTAGCTATTACTTGTAATCTTAAAATTTTTAAAATCTCTTTTCATTTGTTTTCTTATTTTATTTTATTTTATGTGCGGATATATCCTGATTTATGTGGCAATTATAAACCTTCTGTCGCTTAAACATGCCTGTCTCATTATATTACTAACATTGTGGTTTCATTTAAGATGCTATTAATTTTGAGGTATATGCATTCTCTCAAATGCTTGTTCACTGCAGGAGATTAACCATGCTGGTGCTGGCGGGCTATGG